GGGGGGCTCGGATCGGAGCACACAGAGGGCAGCAGGGGCCTGTCATGAAAGCGCTGTCCTTGGGCTGGGGTTCCAAGTCAGTGTCCTCACCTCCCCAGGGCACAGGGGACACCAAATTTCCTAGAGACGCACTTATGGGCATGGGTGGGCTGCCCTGGCTCACCTGTGGACGGGCGGGCCCGCCGCCGATGTTCCCACTGTTTGCAGATCGACTATTACTGCCGCTTGGACTGTCTGTGGAAGAAGAAGTTCAAGAAGGAGCACGAGGAGTTCGAGACCATGGAGAACGTGAACCGCCTGCTCCTGGAGAACGTCCTGCCCGCCCATGTGGCCGCCCACTTCATCGGGGACAAGCTGAACGAGGTGTGGGCGGGGCAGGGCTCAGCCACCTGGGGAGGGAGGAGCCCATGGTGTGGCGTGGGGTCCCCAGGGTGAAGGTCCAGAGCCAGGGCACCTTCTGGGAGGCAAGCATACGGGGTAGAGGCAGGGCCCTGGGTTCCCCAGGACACCTCACCTGCAAGACGGGCCTCCAGCATGCACCTGGCAGGATTGTGGGGAGGGTCCAGTGTGTCCAGGTACTTGTGGTCCAGATGTTCTGTGCAATGAGAACATCTGCATTCCCACCAGTTCCTTACAGCAGGGAATTTTCTAGAAAGGGCCGAGAGACTCGCTTAGTATAGGACTAGGCCTCCTGGCTGCGACCTTCTGCTGCCCCAGGGGTTCTCGACCCCAGACGCACAGACACACCTAGGGGCTCCAAAGAGCAGAAAGCAACCAGAGCCTGACCCTCCCCTACCAAGGGACCCCCAGATCGCCCTTGGTTTTATGCTGCCCCCCACGAGGAACCTCTGACAGCCAGGGCTGGGAACACTGCCCACTCCCCCTAGTCCCGAGAGCCGGTTCAGGCCTCCGCAGTCTCTCTTCTAAGCCCGCTGAGGCCAAGTGGCCCTGAGGGCCTGTTTCCTCCTGCCCTGACCCCAGGACTGGTACCATCAGTCCTACGACTGCGTCTGCGTCATGTTCGCATCTGTGCCGGATTTCAAAGTGTTCTACACGGAGTGCGACGTCAACAAGGAGGGGCTGGAGTGCCTGCGCCTGCTAAACGAGATCATCGCCGACTTCGACGAGGTACCGCCACCCCGCCCCACCCGGGCCTGGCCCAGGACAGCTCTCAGGAGGGCAGATGGAGGCATGCATCCTCCGCCCCAGGGAGAGGAGGATGTGTGTTCTCAGGGAACAAGCACCACACGAAGCATAAAAAATGCAAATCTGGGGGACCAGCAGTTAGCGTAATGGCTATGTCGCTGGACTCCCACGTAGTCGACCGCGGTGCGCGTTTTGGACCCGGTGGCTTAAAACTCACGCTGGGTGCGTGTGCGTGCGTGCCCAAGATCCCGAGAGGAGAATGGAGAAGAAGGGATTGTGGAGTGGCCGTTCCCCCTTGGGGGGTGTTTTCTCGCTTTCTCTCTCTCTGTCTCTCTCTGTCTCTCTGGCGAGCGTACGCGCCCTATGGCAAAAAAAAAAAAAAGAAAAGAAAAGAAAAAGAATGCAAATCTGGGGCTGGTCGCAGGTGGCATGGTGATTAGGACACTGGACTCTCACATGAATGACCATGGTTCGAGACCCGGACCTGGTGGCTTGCTTTCTCACTTTCCCTCTCTCTCTGGTCAAATTAGAAAATAATAAATAAATAAAACAATAATGAAAAAAGTATGAATCTGTACTATTGTGCTAGTCAGCAAATACTCCGTTAATGCCTTCTGTGGGTGGGCCAGGTTGTGAAGGTCAGACAGGGGTCCTTGTAGAAGAGCTGGCTTCCAGCAGAGTACCATGCTGTCAGCCCCTCTCGGAGGAAGTTCAAGCGCGTTCCCCTCTGCTGGAGGCAGGCGGTCGGCACTGCCCTGTGGCACTGCCCTGTACTCACTGGGAGTGAGGCAGTAACTGTGGGAGGGACTGGGAGGTGACAGACCAGCAGGAGTGGGAGAGCTCCCCACTGGCATGCCTGCATCAGTAGTGTGGGGGCAGGGACTCCCAGGTCCCTGCTGAGGGAGGGCTGCAGCTGTGCAGCTGTGCGGTGGCAGCTCTGCCTCCCTCAGCTGGTCCCCCTTCCCCCGTCCCGTAGCTGCTGTTAAAGCCCAAGTTCAGCGGCGTGGAGAAGATCAAGACCATCGGCAGCACGTACATGGCAGCTGCGGGGCTCAGCGTCACCTCAGGGCACGAGAATCAGGTACTCAAGCCCCAGGTGAGGGGACAGCCCACGGCCTGGCCCAGTGTCACCTGACTGAGAGCACCTCCCTATCCTGTCCTGTGAGGGAGTGACAAAGGCACTTGTGTGGCTCAGCCTGGAGTTTTGGAGGTGGGGGATGGCTGCCCTCGTGGGGACAGGGGAGACGCTTGGAGGAGCCTGGGTAGGCCCCTTCCATGGGATCCACGTTGATGCTGGTGCACCAGCCTGGTTGGGCCCCTCTGGGGCCTCAGGATCTGGCCCACTGGTGCAGACGGCCATGGCACCCCAGCCCAGCGCTCTGTCCCGCAGGACCTAGAGCGGCAGCACGCCCACATTGGCGTCATGGTGGAGTTCAGCCTGGCCCTGATGGGCAAGTTGGATGGCATCAACCGGCACTCCTTCAACAACTTCCGCCTGCGTGTCGGTGAGGGCTGGCAGCAGCCGGGATGGGGGTGCGGGGGACAGGGTGGTGGGAGACGGGGCCCCACCTCAGGAAGGCCACTGCCTGTCTGTGTGACAAAGCTGTACTTCGCTGTCTATTATGAAAAGTTTTAGAAAGCCCTCTCTGGGGCCGGCAGGTGGCATAGTGGTTAAGGCGTTGGACTCTCACATGGCTGACCATGGTTTGAGTCCTGGACTCGAAGGTTCGAAACTCATGCCAGGTGTGTGTGCATGCATGGCCAAAATCCTGAGAGGAGGATGGTGGAGAAGGGATTGCGGTGTGGCCATCCTCTCTGGGGGTTGATTTCTTACTTTCTCTCTCTGTCTCTCTGACAAAAGCAGGGGCCCTATAGCAAAAATCTCTCTTTAAAAAAAAAAAGAGAGAGGGACCAGCAGTTAGCGTAATGGCTATGTCACTGGACTCCCATGTAGTCGACCACTGTTCATGTCTCGGACCCGGTGACTTAAAACTCACACCGGGTGCGTGTGCATGCATGCCTAAGATCCCAAGAGGAGAATGGAGGAGAAGGGATTGCGGCGTGGCCATCCCCCCTGGGGGGTGATTTCTCTCTTTCTATCTCTCTGTCTGTCTGTCTGGCGAGCGCACGCGCCCTATAGCAAAAACCTCTCAAAAAAAAAAAAAAAAAAAGAGAGAGAGAGAGAAGAAAGCCCTCTCTGATCTGCAAAGTCCAGTGGTCGGACAGATGCTCTGACTTTTGTAGACCATGATACAATCACTTCTGAAAGACTTACATAAATACCATGTCACTATTGCAAATGGAGACCCCAAATTACACTGCAAATAGGTGACCTTAAACTACAGTGAGAACAAAGCCAAGTTAGTAAAACCTAGCTACTCACTGCTAGCCAAAAGGGTGGGGCTCAAATGTACTCTTTGTTAAAAGGGTGGTTAGCACGGGACCAACAGTTAGCGTAGTGTCTATGTCGCTGGACTCCCATGTAGTCAACTGCGGTTCGAGTCCTGCACCTGGTGGCTTAAACTCACGCCAGATGCGTGTGCGTGCGTGTCCAAGATCCCGAGAGCAGAATGGAGGAGAAGGGATTGCGGTGTGACCATCCCCCCTGGGGGGTGAGTTCTCGCTTTCTGTCTCTCCGTCTCTCTGTGTCTTTCTGGAGAGCGCACGCACCCTGTAGCAAAAAAAGAAAACCTCTCCAAAAAAAAAAAAAAGGTGATTAGCAGATCCTGGGAAAGTGTCACCTGCACGTCCAGGCTTCTTGAGTATGGCAACGTCTGGAAAGAACTGGCCAGAGGGGCGCCTTCCCCACACCCAAGGATGAGCTCACTCCCAGGCTCCGGGAAGCAGTCCCGACCTCACCTTCCTTTCAGTTGTTTTCCTACCGCTTTCTGTGGTTGGGGCACGAATTCTGCGGCCTCCCCCAAGAGCAGAAAGAAGCCTGCAGCTTGGCCTCTGTGACCGGTCTGCTGTGTAAACACTGTCTTCAGGCATAAACCACGGACCCGTGATTGCTGGAGTGATCGGGGCACGCAAGCCTCAGTACGACATCTGGGGAAACACGGTCAATGTCGCCAGCCGCATGGAGAGCACTGGGGAGCTTGGGAAGATCCAGGTAAAAGTCCACTGGGAGGGGCCAGCAGGTGGTGTGGTGGGGGAGGTGCTGGATTCCACCATAGCTGACAGGTTCGAGTCCTGGATCCAGTGGCTTGAAAATCACAACGAATGAGTAGATACGTAAAATAACAAAACAAAACAAAACAAAACACAGCCCATCAGGAAAGTACATGGCCACTGAGAAGGACTCCTCTCGCGGGGAGGAGACGGGACTGCGGCCCGACTCTGCCCTCGGTCAGCTGTGTGCATCCAGCTACCTGGACATGCCCGCCGCTTGCTGGTCAGCAGCTCTGTCTGCACTGTAACAGGCTTGCTCCCTGCTTCAGAGGACTCGGGTTTCTTTTCCTTTTCAGGTTACCGAAGAGACGTGCACCATCCTCCAGGGACTCGGCTACTCCTGTGAGTGCCGCGGGCTGATAAACGTCAAAGGCAAAGGCGAACTGAGGACTTACTTTGTCTGTACAGACACTGCCAAGTTTCAAGGGCTGGGGCTGAACTGAGGGCTTCTGGCAGATTCCGAACACGCTGGGAGGCTGATTTCCTTCCCTGAAGCAAGCCAAGGAGCAGACTCAGCCCCATGCCGGTCACAGTGGCATTTGAAGGGCTTGGCCATAGCCCCCGCCTGGCGGATGGCTGTGTGCGGCTTCCCTGGACTTGTGCAAGGGGGGGGGGTCTCTTGGACACTTGGGGAAGATCCAGGCTGGAAGTGACCCCTGAGCTGTACTGTGTGATGCCGGCCAGAACCTCGTGTTTCTGGGTGCTGGAAGAGGCTCAGAGTGACTCTGAGATCTTTGTTCTTGGGGTGCTGTGCAGGGGACCTCTCAGCATGACCGCAGTGGGCTGGGAGCATGCACAGGGGAGACCTGCTTTTCTGGGTGCAAAGGAGGACGAAGACGAGTCACCTAGTGTGGGTGGGAGACTCCCTGCTCCCTAGCCGGGAGGTGTTGGACGGTGCGCCGCTCCCAGGGCACTCTGGGAAGTGAAGTTGCAAAGGGCGTTTTACATCCGTAAATGGTTTCAGACAGTCCAGGGAGAAAAACGTAATTGACACTTGTTACTTCTTGCCATCTCTGGCAAAGCGTTTGTTTTGAATGGACACATTATTAATGGGGGTTTGTCCTTCTTAATGACTGCTTGGACGCCAGACAGAGGCTCTTCCCTCCAGGGGATTCTCTGCCTTTTAACCACTGACATGTAAGCAGGACCAGCGTCCAGCCTGCTGGGATTGGAGCCCTCAGGAATGTGGCTCCGAGGAGCGGCGAGGAATGGCGCAGCCTGGGCTTTGTGGCAGGAGCTGAAAGCCGAGAAATAGGGACAACCTGTGAGCTCTCCCCTGGCCGTATGTGTTTAAGTCCTCCCCTGTACCCTTTTTTTGGCAGAGAGAGAACTTGGACGACCCGCAGTACTTCCCTTCCTCTAGTCTTCATGGCTAGCTTGGAGCACAGCAGGGGTGCGAGGACAGTCCGTACCTGGGTAGCCGACTGTCTTGCAGGGCTGAGATGTTCTGGGTCTGGCCCTGAGTTGGCGCAGGCGCAGGAAGCCGGGTCTGAGATGGGGTCTGACTGCTTCAGCACCCAGGGACCTGGACTGCGCTGACTCCTTCCTGGTCAGCAGCAGCCAACTGCCTGTTGCTTTTTCTCAACTGACATCACCGCCTACAGCCAGGGTGTCCCTGGATTTCTAGTCCAGCGACTTTGCCAATACAGCAGGGGCTCTTGGGCTAGACGTCATCTGTGACCCCCCTGAAATGATACTGAAAACCTTGTGTACGAGAACCTTCAAAAGATCACGCAGAGCTCTGGATGGAGTGATTAGCCAGCCAGGTCTGCCTGGGACCCAGGGTCCAGGAATGCATTGCCACCCTTGTCATAGTGCTGTGTCCAAACCAGGGGACGGAGGGCCTGAAATGGAACCTGCCTGCTTATGCTGTGTGCTGTTGTAAAGCGTCGCCAGCCTGAGGGTTTGCTCTTGTTTAAGGAAGTGCTGGGCGGCCTAACGGCAGCTCTGATGTGTGCTGCTCGTAACTGGGATAATAGGAATACATGACAACTTGCTGTGTACGGTTTTTTTTTTTTTTTTGACAGAGGGAGACAGAGAGAAAGCGAGAAATCACCCACCGCGGGGATGGCCACGCCGCAATCCCTTCTCCTCCGTTCTCCTCTTGGGATCCTGGGCACGCACGCACACGTGCCTGGCTTGAGTTTTAAGCCACCGGGTCCGGGACGCGAACCGCAGTCGACTACATGGGAGTCCAGTGACATAGCCATTATGCTAACTGCTGGTCCCCAGGAGTTTTTTGTTTGTTTTTGTCAGAGGGCTTGTCCATTCACCAGAGGGAGAGAGAAAAGCATCCCCCAGTAGGGCAAGGTCACACCCCAGTTCTCCCTCCATCTCTCCATCCTGTCAGGTGGCTTTTCAAGCTGCCGCGCTGGGATTTACACTGCGGTTGGCCATGTGGGGTCAGGCACCAGCTCCCTGTGCACAGCGCCATGTGTCTGGCCTGGGTGAAGCTTTCCAGCGCAGATGCTGGTAAGGGAAGTCAGTCTTAAGTTGCTTCTCAGGTTTTGTCATAGGGCGTGTGGACATACTACAAATAGGGAAAGCGAGAAATCATCTCCCAAGGGAATGGCCACGCGCAGTCCCTTCTCCTCCTGGGATTTGAGGCAGGCGTGCACATGAGCCCAGCATGATTTTTCAAGCCGTCATGTTCAGGACTCAAACCACGGTCAGCCATGTGGGAGTCCAATGCCTTAACCACCACGCCACCTGCTGGCCCCTTAAATCGCCTTTTTCACATGTCAACTTCTATTAAGGGCTTGTTTCAAGTGAGTGCTCTTCTGAATGGCACCTGTGCTCCCCAAATCTGACAATGACCAGGGCTGTCCAGCAGGGGTGCTCCGGGGAGGTCAGGAGGGTCCCTGTTGCTAACGTATCACACACATACCACGGTGCACTGGGCCTGAGGTCCAATTTCATAATTGGTTATCATTCATGTCTTTTTATTCCCAACTCATGAAAGCACTGTGTTCAGATACAGATATTTTGTAAGTTTTGTTTTCAATGTTCAGGTCCTAAGAGTATAACTGACCATAAAAATCACGTGCAGGCTTTCTTTTTATAAATGTTTTCAAACTACCGAGTCAATTTTTTTCCCAGGTGTCATTCTGTTTTATGACAGGTACATGTACCTTTTCTAACAATGACCTTCCCACTGGGTCCAAGAGTTGCTTAACATTTCTCAAAGGTGGCCTGACTAGCAAACATAGGCCCTGAAGTTTTCTGGTTTACTTATTCAAACAACTTCCTAACAGAAAAGATCATTAACCACTGTATACTCTCTGTATATATTGTGTCACTGTACAGGAATAGGCTTTGACAATGCATGCAAATAACCAGATTTATTCTGTATACTGTTATTTATAAATCTGTAACATTTGTTTCAAAATGTTCTTTTACTTTTGTAAAATACCAGTGTTTAGCTGCTTTTTATATATTAAATTAGCAATTTGGAAAACCTGAACGTCCTAAGGATTTTTTTATTTATTTATTTTCGGTTTATTTATTTATTTATTTTTTGTGCCAAAAAGACAGACAGAAGGTGAGAAATCACCCCCAGGGGGGATAGCCACGCAGCAATCCCTTCTCCTCCATTCTCCTCTTGGGATCCTGGGCACACACGTACACGCGCCCGGTGTTGAGTTTAAGCCACTGGGTCCGGGACGCGAACTGCGGTCGACTACATGGGAGTCCAGTGACATAGCCATTACGCCAACTGCTGGTCCCCTGAATTTGTGTTAAAGTTTATGTTCTGAACCAGACTCTTGAGAAATCACCATTCATCTCAGCCTAAGGGATGACAGAAGGGGACATGTCTCGTAGTCTCCTGCTTAAATAATTAAACTGCTTGACTTTTGTATTTCAAATAAAGTAGTTGAGTATCAGTTAGTTCAGGGGGTATGGCAGGGCACAGGTGACCTCTGAGATGGAAAATAGAAACGTAAACGCTAAGATCAATAATTCACTGACATTCAAGTGTGATATGGCTCATCCCTTTGCTATAGCTCCTAACGGCTAAGAAGTGGGACAAACAGGACAGCACGCCTGCTGCAGTGCTGCAGTCTCTTCTGTGGTCTGCACAGGAGTGGCTGGGTGGGCGAGAGGCTCCTCGCCGCCAGCACAAGGGCCTCGCCCCCATCAGGTACACAGGGAGTAGATCTGCGCTAGTAAATTCCACAACGATTTCAAGTGTGTTTGTTTTCTTCTGTTACCAGGAACAATTTCAAGGATGGGGCTGCTTTTGAATAAGCTTCCTAGTTATTGACTTGCCTGTGAAACACAGGAAGTAGCATTAGTATAATATTTTGAAAAATGTTGCCCAGGCAGGGCAAGAACCCAAAGTCGTCATATTCCTTTTTCCTATGGGCCATGTCTATTTGAATAAATCATAAAGATCAGATCTGCTAGGAACGAATTATAATTTATTCTACTTATTTAATGGAAAGTGTGGCAAATGAAAAATTAAGGAGTTCAGCTATTTTGGGGACTTTCTTCTTTTAATGCATGATCACGAAAAAGACTATTTTCTGAGTTTCTATCACTGCAGCTTCACTTTCAGTCCCAGCTTCAGCCCAGGGAAAGGTCAAGGGGCAATCGGGTCGATATGTACAGTACCCCTCTGAGTCCCAGGCTCAGCTTTATTATCTAACAGAAGTCCAGTCTCCAGAACATTAAAATGAATTGTTCCAAAGTTTAATTAAAAACACAATTTACAAATATTTAATATTTTTTGAAAAGCATTTCCAAGTTCAGAATGAAAAAAATATGTACATAATATATAATCAAATCCCAGTTAAGCTTCACACCCCACCAGGTCCACATTCGGCAACACCTGTCTTTTTTGGTTCTTCGAAATCTGAAAAAGAAACCACATCTCATCAGCATTTCTCCCTTTTTAATTGAAAAGGTACATGAAGCTAAGGCTAGATCCAGAAGACTAAGTGCTGCCAGCCCGACCCGAGCACAGTGAGGGTAAGACCAGGCACGTTAGCTGACGGTTGCAGCGCTTTGGGCAAATGGACAAGATCATTATTAGTTCCTTTACACAAGATAGAGGGAAACCTAAACGTTTTATGCATTTAAAAATTCAAAGACAAGGGGACCAGCGGGTGGCGCGGTTGTTAAGGCACTGGACACTCACACATGGCTGACCATGATTTGAGTCCCGGACCTGGTGGCTTGCTTTCTCATCTCTCTCTGTCTCTCTCTATGGTCAAAAAAGAAAAAAAAAGAAAAAAAAAAGAATATACAAATAAAGTTAAATAAATAATTCTTAAAAAGAATTCAAAGACCAAATCTTTCAAATGCTATCTGAAGGGAGAGGCCTGTGACTCACAACGGTCTTCTACTTTCCCACAGAAACAAGGCACCTACCTTCTGTCAAGTCTACAAAGTTGTTTTCTACGGTGGGGGAAGGAATGGAAATCCCCATCGCTTTCCGAACGCCATACGTGCTGACAATATCACCTGGAGTTACTTGCTGTGCAAGTTCTTTTAGATTATTGGTCACCTGTTCAGCTAGGAAAAAATCAAAATAGTTTGAGGTATTGAAAAATTGGTTCCTTGAAATAACTTTTTAAAAAATCCAAAAGCACAGTAGATGTCAAAAACAAGCCTTCATGGTGCTCATGCCAGCGTGACTGACAGTGGTACCACGCCTTGGAAGGCTGTGCGCAAACATCCCCGACTCTCTCCTACTGGCGGTGCGACCTACCAAGATGCATTTCTCTGTAGGAGGGACCCAGGAGACAGATCATATTCGGAGGGGGTCTGGTGCTCAGACGCTCGTTCTGGGCTTCCTGGAGCTCCCTGAGCAATTTGGTGGTCTCATCAAGTTTCCTCTGGAACACTTCGGCCTCTGTGTGAAAAGGAAAGGAATATGCTAAAGAAAACATGGACATACTTGTGTTTGATCTTGCTGGTAAATGGAGTCCTGGGCTCTAAGCCTTTGCTATTTCTTGGTTAGCCTTTTCCCCTCACAGGAATAATCCCCCCGTAATGAAATCAATGCCACCACCATGCTTTCCCTGTGGTCAACGGCTATGCTAACCTGCACTAATGGGACGTGATATCTTGGCTGCATGCGTTATGTGCTGCTGCCCACCCTCCCCACGCTCTGGGAGCACTCGCCTTCAGAGTCAAAAACTTCCACCGCAGCGCCGAAGTCCGTTACTGCTCTCAGTGCGGCGAGCCTGTCCTGAGTGCTGCAGTCCAAACGCCCCGCTGGCTCGACTGCTGGAACCTGCTTCAAGTGAAAAACAGGCAATGACCTGCTCTGGCTTAGCCATGACGGTGCAATCTGGGAATTAGTAAGATGGCGTGTCTACACAGACTTCTTCCACCTAGGTAGATACCTCGGAGTCATCTTTTTTTTTTTTTGAGAGATTTTTGCTATAGGTGGGTGTTCTCGCCAGAGAGACAGAGAGAGAAAGTGAGAAACCACTCCCCAGAGGGGATAGCCACGCCACAAACCCTCGCCTCCATTTGCCTCTCAGGATTTTGGGCACGCGTGCACATGTGCCCGGTATGCTTCAAGCTGCCAGGTCTGGGACTTGAACTGCAGTAGATCACATGGGATCCAGCACCTTAACCAAACTACCTGCTGGCTCCCTTAGAGTCTAAATTTTGATGTCTACAAAAATGTCCTCTCAGAGCCACCTTTCAAAATGCTATTGATTTCTCCTAGCAAAAAAGATGTCCATAAACTCACACTTCCATGTAATGGAGCCACGTCTTCCAAGTTTGCATCATTTATTTTATATAGGATAAAATAGCATAAGCCTTGTTATCGCCTACACTGTGAGGAGCTTGTGGTGACTGTGCTGCTGCCATATGTGCTGAGACTCAAGGCCAGCATTTTACACACAGCTCTTTAATATCAGAGGCTTCCCAGGTTTCCTCCAGACCCAAAGCTAGGTGTCAGTATCACCTGGGAAAAACCAAATCTTAACAAGGGTAGTGATTTATTTTTGGAATTCGAAGACTCAGGGTTTTCCTAACCCACACACTGATCTTTAGAAACAGACCAACCCAGACAGTAAGTAACCCAGAGTGCACGCCCCACCTATACCATGGTATCTGCCTTTCGGCTCTACCTGGCTGAACACCTGACTGCTGCTAATGCAGATGCTGCGCGCTGGACAAACCTGCACGGCTGTGACTCGGCACTGGCAGGGACTGTGGCTATGGGATGTGTGTAGTTGTTGGAGAAACAAAGTGAGAAATCATCCCCAGCAGGGACGGTGTGTCTCTATTCTCCTCTTGGGATTTTGGATCCGCACCCACATGCACCTGGCGTGAGTTTCAAGCTGTCAGGTCCAGGATTTGAACCGCAGTCGGCCACGCCTTAACCATCACATCACCTGGCAAGCCCGCACCCTCACCCTTCTACTAGGCAGTCTTTTCCGAGCTCTCTCCTGTTTACTGCTCTTTCACAGTTTTCGTGCCAACTACGGGTCTTCTCCAAGACTGTCCTTCGACCCTTCTGCAGTCTACATGCTTGGCCTGGACAGTCTCGCCCTCCCTAACGACTGGAATGAGATCCCTCCTTCACATCAGCAACGTCTGGACCCACATCTAAGCCCGTATCTTAGAGCCCACAGCTCCAACCATGTCCAAAATCACATGTGCCATGTCAGAAACGGAAAGGAACTTCTCTTCTGGTCCAAGCATGCTCCTTCTCCAGTACTTCCTGTATGACCTAATAACACGGCTACCTACCCTGTACACCAGTCGCGTCGCCTTTCACTCTACTTCATTTCCCAAATCCTTGTTCTCTTCTTTTCTATTGGTATGCTAGCCTTTTTGTTTGTTTTTTTAAGGTCTTCGCCATAGGGTATGTGCACTTGCCAGAGGGAGATAATGAGAGTGGAAGTGAAAATCATCCCCCCAGGATATATGGCCACGCTGCAATCCCTTCTCCTCCATTCTCCTCCTGAGATTTTGGGCATGCATGCACACACACCCAGCATGATTTTTCAAGCCACCAGATCCAGGACTGGAACTGTGATGAGCCCTGTGGGAGTCCAGCGCCTTCACCACCATGCCACCTGCTGGTCCCACTGGGTCCCCCCCCGCCTTAGACAAGCCCCATAGCTTTTCACTAGTCCCATTCCTCCACATTTTATCAGTATATCCTATCTTCTAGGATAAAATCTCAACTTCCGGGACTAGCAGGTGGCATGGTGGTTAAGGCACTGGACACTCCCACATGGCCAACCGCAGTTCGAGTCCTGGATCTGGTAGCTTTCTTTCCCACTTTCCCTCTTTTCCCTCTTTGATCAAATAAAAAATAAATGAATAAATAAAATGGAATAATTCTTATAAAAAACAAAACAAAACAAAACAAAAAAAACTCAACTTCTAGCACTTCTAGAGAAAACTATTCATCCTTGGGTCCTCACTCACACAGCCTCACTATCCTCTGTCCTCTTTTTCAGGGATTCCTTGGCTCCCTGCTTCCTGAGCTCGCTGTATACGTACCCTGCTCTTTCAGATGGACTGATGTCATTAAACACACAGCTGCCCACTTCAGATTCCTCGCCCTGCTTGCTCGGAGAACACCTATTCATTCTCTAGCTCCAGTGCAGATAGCACCCCTTCTATGAGGGTCTCCTTAGCTCACCCACAGCCCATCCACTCACGTCTACGTAACTGGTTAGATTGGGTCCCCGTGTTTACATGCTTGCTTACTGTATTAATTACTAAGCCCTCTATAAGCAGAGAAAGTTCTTTATTCCAGATATCATCAATGAATATTTTAAAATAAGCAAATCAGTCATTTAGGTCTTTTAGCTAGTTCTCTATTTAAGTGTTTCTTGTAAAGAATAAAATATAATCACCTCTAATTCTTTTGCTGTGTCAAGTGTCCTAGTCTGGCCTTCATCTTCAGATGATGACTGTAAGGATAAACAAAAACAACTTTTTATGAAAATATATATGTAAAGTCAAATACTAACAAAAATAAACTGTCAAGAGTTTCATGGCTAGAGGAAAGAACTGAGTGCATGAAGTACTGGAAAAATAGTATTTGAAAACCAAGATGAATTAAATATAAGTATCAACAAATTGCAAGTACCCTGTGAGGGAGACACATTACTGTGGTATCAAGATTTTCCACTGACTAGCAGAAAAGCTATACACGTTTGAGGAGACACATGGCAAACAGCATTCAGTATGTAAATAACGAGTCTGTTTCCAAAAAGAGGCAAATCTATGACCACAAGAAAACAGGAAGGAACTCTAAGACAGCAGTCGTCTCAGAGAGCAGGGGTTACTGCAGAATAATCGGATGCTACAGGAATGAGAAAGCATCTCATAATCCTGTTCCTCAGATTATGCATGTAGAAAAGGACTTCAAAAGTGTGCAGAAAAAATGGAATTAAAGTTTGAGCTCATTATGGTACAAAAATCTGAAATCCATGTATACAGTTACCCTCACCCCAAAGCCCGTCTGAGAAAGAGTCACACACAGGCACTCCCAGCCAGCCCTGGCTGGCCCAGATCATGGCACCTGTGCACACTGGGAGTGCCCAGGCAGGTCCTGGGACCCAGGGCCTTCCCCATTGGCTCCAGCTGCACCAAGACCACGCCACCACCTGGCCTGGATTTGTCACTGTGTGCATTTCCATGCACCTGCTGAAGACTCTGACAGACAGACAAAAGCATCACTGACACCAATCAGTAGTGATGTTGTCTTTCTGGAAAGGTTACACTGTGATTTAACAGATTCCAATTTCTAAAACTGTCAACAACATATCCGTATATATAACTCTTCTTTTCTAGGACAAATTGTGAAAAGAGAAAGTGCTGGATCAAAGAACAAAGAAACGTCACATTTTGAAACAGACTGCCATATTCACCAAATAAAAAATCCTCATTTCTAGGTAGACAATTCAGACTGATGCGAAGGGTACAGGAGAAGTAATTTTTGAAGTGATGTAAAATGGAATATTTTTAGGTCAGGTGATAATACGTGCTACGATTTTACAGCTGTTAGCACCGAGTTTTAGGTACTGACCTTGGATCTGCTGCCAGGTCACCCACGGAACACCCACCAAACATGCAGCTGTGGCCAGGGTACAGGCACTACAGCCACAGCCACCACTAAGAGGGAGGACTGTCAAGGACTTCTTGAACTACAGAGACAAGACATTCTGCAGATCAACCCTCCTCTACGAGGAGACTTCAGAAAGTTTGTAGAAAATGGAATTAAAGTACAAGTTTACTTTGGTGCACAAAAACTTTAAAACCCATACATAGTTTTCCTTTTCTTTTAAAAATAGTTTTTGCTAAAGAGTGTGTCTATGTGTGCTCACCAGGAAGAGAGAGGAGAGAACACATTAGGCAATGGGACATGGTCGAGCCACAATCCCCTCAGGTCCTGTTGGGATTTTGGGTATGCACACACATGCGTCTGAGGTGTTCTAGCCACTGGGGCTGGAATCACACAACCAGCTATGTGGAATGCAGCTGTTTAACCATCAGGTCCTGGGGTTGGTCTTAGTTTTCCCTTACTACATGTTGTCCATGAACTTTTTGAAGGGCCTTTGGACCTTAGTAAAGCATTTATTTTCTGGTTCTAATCTTAGAGTCAAGACTCTGAATTACTCTTCATTAGGAACCATCTCCATCTGAACTAGACAGTTTACAAATGTTAATAAAACTGCCATGGAAAGCTTTTTACTTTAACTCCAGGCTTCTAATCATTTCGGCCAACTTACTTTCAAGTCAGTGAGCGAGTCCTTCCTTTTTTGTTAGGGTACACAGCACCAGCTGACATGGGATGTAAGCCCCAGTTTTACAAGAGTAGGAGATCACGATGAGGCCCTGGCCCTCGTGAATCCTGGTGGCTGAGCTCCTCCTTTCCGTTCATTGTCCTCCACCCAGGGCCTCCACCCAGGCTGGGCTGTCTTTTCAGGGGAACGGAGTTTAACTGTCATCCTTGTTAATCCCGTGATTTCATAACACCGAATGACTAAGACTCGAAGGCCAGTAACAAAGTACTGTCTCATTAGCAGGGCTCTTACCGTCTCCAACTCCTGCAGGGTCCTAGAATGTCCTCCTTTTGTCAAAACATCCAGTAAGCTATCTGCCATAACATATGGATAGTCTTGGCATGTGGCCAAAAACTCGTGGATGCTGGAAGAGAAAGGTGGGGAGTCATTTCCACATAAATCATCTTCCTGCAACACCCAACTGCTGTCATCGGAGGCCCTCAGTTTATGGGCCATGATGTAAAGTGTGGTTTAGACATAGACCATGTACTTCTGTATCTGCAGTGATAAATTGACCAACATAAGAAAAATAAATAGTCTTAAGAACACAGCAAAAATAAAATGTCCCTGAAGACCACCCCAAAAAAGGTAAGAGCTCAGTGATGGAGGCCCAGGGCTTGGTCCTTGGAGCTCCTCACCCCTCTGCTGGGCCTCCTACATAAGGTGCTCTTGTTCACTCAGGAGTCTCATGCAATCTGAAAACTCTCCAAGTTACACCTCTGGTTCGGACAGCTCCATCTGGATGTCTGTCTGTAATAAGCCTCTGTAGTTTAAATATCCAAAACAGAAATGCTGGATCTTCCCCTCAAAAGTGTTTCAAAAAGCTCCCCCTTTTCAGTAAGCATCAACTCCATCCTCGAGGCTCAGTCTGAACAACCTGGAGCCCCCCACTTCTATCTCAACCTCCTCCTGAGTGCAGAAGGCACACTGACTAACCACTGGTCCTCGGCAGCATCCCACTGCTACTTCCTTGGGCCATCCCACCTGGACTAGGAGAGCGGTCTCCCAATTCTGCCCTTGTCCCTGCAGGCTATTCCGCACACAGCAATCCTCTTCAGAGCTCAGGTCAGACTGGACACTTCTCTGCTGGCAACCCCCAGTGGTTTCCAATCTCACTTACAATAGAACTCCAAGTCCTGACAGGGGCCTACACCCACCTACTGCCTCTCTGAACACTCCTGTCTTCACCTGTCCTGCTCCTTGCTGCTTCCAGCTGTTCCTGACTGCCGGGCAGGCTCCCACCCTCAGGGCCTTTCCATAGCACTCACTGGCCGGGACAGTCTTCTTTCAAACGGCAACAATACTTGCTTCCTCATCGCCTTTCCTTTTTGCTCCATTCTCACGTCTTAGCAAAGATTTCCTGATTACCCTATTGAAAGCTCCTGAGCCCAGCATTCTCTATCTCCCTGTGACACTTTCCTTTCACCTTATCACCATCTGATAAGAGGGCCTGGGTCTCTGTCAGCAGGATCTCCCTGTAGCATCCATCCCAGCATCTAGAAGAACACTTGCACACAGCGAGCATATGTGCCTATTTGTGGGATGCATAGAAGAAGAATCCAGAAAGAAATTGTTCCAGCTGTGACATCTGAGGGCTATAAATGGCTTGATATGAAGCCACAGTCGATTTCAACCAAAAACTACACATACTTATGATGTAAAGGTGAACAGACTCCTCTGTCAGAAAACTAGGGGTCTGGTTGAGCTTCAGTGTTAAACTCTGCACACAATGTAAGTTAACAAGATACCAGTGCCAAGAAGAAAGAACCCAAGTTCAACACTCCCCCGAGTCAGAACACTGGTAAATCAGGATGTCCCCAACTATACTGATAGGACGCAAAGTGCTCAGCGTGCTCAAGAGGATCACGAGTTACCTTCCAGAGAAGCCTGAAATAAATAGGTCGAGTGCAGCTGCCACAGCCTACCCTACACACCAGGGCAAACACGCTTGGGTGTGGTTTGTGGTAGGAATCGAGTCACAGTGTCCTACCTCATATCGTGGGGAATATGTTGTGGGTCCTCAAACTGATTAACTTTGGGACATGGCTCACTGACACGTGAAAAGGTTATAGAGCAAAGGCACATCAACGTTTTGAAGTTAAGAAGCTCCTGAACTTTAGTATCAGTGGAGGTACAAAGCATCTTTAAAAACACACTTTTAGGGGCCAGCAGGTGGTATGGTGGTTAAGATTCTAGACTTCCACATGGCTGACAGTGGTTTGAGTCCCAGACCTGGCAGCTTGCTTTCCCACTTTCCCTCCCTCCTTCCTCTCTCTGGTGAGTGCGTGTGCCCTATAGCAAATGTTAAAATAATAATAAAAAATAAAATGAAATAACTTTAAAAAAAACCCACATTTTTATATAAATTAAAACACCAGATGCCAAGGCCAGCAGGTGGTGCGGTGGTTAAAGCACCGGACTCCCACAGAGTCAACTGCAGTTTGAGTACTGAACTGAGTGCCTGGAAAAATCATGCTGGGTGTGTGCGTGCGTGCCCACTATCCTGAGAGGAGAATGGAAGAGAAGGGACTGTGGCATGGCCATCTGCTCTGGGGGCTGTTTTACTCTTGCTCCCTCCAGTGTGTGCACATACCCTATGGGGGACAAAATATACTGGAGATGCTACTATCAGGGAGCTGTGTTCTCTATTTAAAATGTTTAGTTCCCATTAAAGGTTGATGATAACTACAGGTCTAATAAAATTACTGTGCACATTTTTTTTTTCCATATAAGGAATGGCTTTATTAGGAAAAAACAGTGTATGCGTGGCTAATTTCTATCATTGATATACCTCCTGGCTACTTTAGAATTAAAATCTGGTACAAGGTTTAAACTTCCTTAGAAGTTAGTGGCATTTCTTCCTATTCTGATATGACTTAGGTTAGTAATTATCTTCAAGAGAAGGATACCCTTTCTTTCGTAATTACAATTAATAGTTTAGCACTGGCACAAAACATGGAGGGAATTACTTGGGTAATGAGCACATTTTCCTATCATTTTGATAATTTTGCTAAGTCTATCCACAAATCGCATGTATACATTAATATTTTATAGTGCTTAGAATAGCAATGAATTGATCCCTTACCTGAAATCACTTGGAAGATCAGAGTCTTCCCCGTAAGTTGAATAGATTAGGTCAGAATCATCCTTGCTGATATTTGCAAATGTGGAGTCATAATGTGGTGCGTAAGAACTGTAGGGCCCATAATTCAAGTACAGCACTGTTGGAAAAGTTAACCACCACCATGACATTCTTAAATTTACATGTCAGTCTACTTTCTTATTTTATTAAACAATTACTCCCTTCTAACTTTACTAATTCATTAACTGGTATACAAATCTAAGATAGGGTATTTTCTCCCAAACAGATCCCCATGAAGTTAGAATTTAAGTAAATTCTTCCACAAAAAGGGGAGAGGAAAAAGAGAAAGAACAAAACATATTTTAAATATTAACACTCAATTTCCTAGTTTCTTCTAAAGTTAACAAAGCAGCTAACTGATGCTGCAAAATACCACTGAGACAGCCAGTGAATGCGAGGGACAGTAATCACGCATCCTTGCTAACTCACTGAGATGGACAGACAGAAAGCATGACTCAGCAGGAGCCTCACCTGGAGTTACTTTGTTCCTTTTATCCTCTTTGAAGCCCTGTAAAGTATTCACTCCAGACTGAAGTCTTCCGGTTGTCATCCCCAGTCTTACAGGGCAATAGCCTGGCTCTAAAACATAAAAACGGGCACAGTGAGAGGCATATGTGGTAATGAGCCACGAATACTCTGCTGAGTGTTTCCATGTATATTGCTTGGTGTTATCCACATGACTAAGGGAAGATGGGAGCCTTTACTATATATCTATTTTTAAAAAGGCTGGCCTTTACTATATATCTATTTTTAAAAAGGCTTATCTATCTATTTCTTCGGGGGAGACAGAGAGAGCCCTCGAGGCAGAATCTCTAACTGTGATCCTCCCCCAGGCCTGCTCCAGCAGAGCAGGATCAGAGGCCTGAGTACAGGCAGACTCTCGAACCAAACTCCGATCTTTCACATGGCCTCCAGAATTGAAGAGTACTGGGCTTACGCCTTTTTTTTTCAAGTGACAGAGTATGCACATGTGAGTGCACACGTATGTACCTTAATAGAGCCCTATCATGTGTGATCTCCTTCCCCAGCCCTTTAGCTCCTTGGGATCTTCAGCCCCTACAAGCACACCTGGTGTTTTAGACTGACCCAGGGATCCAAACTGGTGGTTGGCCATATGGCCTCCTAAACCGCAGTCCAGTATGCTATGGACTGTGTCACCTAAACTTCATATTCATTTTTAAGATACAAAAGTGGAAGTTTGGAAAGGCAGAAATGTGGGCAAGACAAAAACCTGGACCGTAACATCATACTCTGCTTTCTGAAATTCTTCATAGCCATATTACACTTCACTTAAAAATGAGATTTTTATTAAAAACAAAACTTAAGAAAACATATTTAAAAGCTGAGCCTTTTAATGTTTTGATGACTAAAGTAAATCCGCAGAAGGGTTAGTAAGAGACATATGTTAAGGATAAATTAGTATCTATGAGAAACATACTTTTAGTGCAATGAGGAATACCCCTTAAAAATGTGATCTCTGGGGCCAGTAGGTGGCATGGTGGTTAAGGCACTGGATTCCCTGGCCCAATGCAGCTGGAGTTCTGGATGCAGTGGAAAATCATGCTGGCTGTATGTGCATGCGTGCCCCAAATCCCAGGAGGAGAATGGAGGAAAAGGGACTGTAGCATGGCCGTTCCTCACAGAAAATGGTTTCTCACTTTCCCTCTGTCTCTGGTGAGTGCATGGCCTTGTGGCAAAATTCTACAAAAAAAAAAAAAGAAAAAGAAAAAAGAAAAAAGAAACAGAAAAGAAAAAGAAAAAGTGATCTGTTGGGCCAACCCATAGGGTAGCAGTTAAGCTCTGTGCACTGGGAGCTGAATCCCACGTGACAGCCACATTTCAAATCCTGGCCCTGGCAGCCTGAAAAACGTACTGGACATAAGTACACATGCACCCCAGATTCTGATGGGATGGAGAAATGGAAGAGAAAGAATTGCAATGTGACCACTTCTCCGCTTCCTCCTTGGCAACTATGAGCACATGTGCCCTCTCAATTAAAAAAAAAAAAAAAAAAAACGGCTCTAAACCAGGAATGAACGAATCTCTCTGTAAGGACACTGGGAGTATGTGATGTAAGCACTAATCATAAAGTGGGCACCTCAGAGGACTGAAAAAGATATCACCAGGAGAAAATATGGGCTCCAACAAGAGCCAACAGCAAGGGTACTCTCCTGAAGAGTCTTGGTTCTATGATACATTGCCCTGGAATGAAGGCCACTGCCACACGCGATCAGCATGAAGAAAGCACCTACAAAGCCACTTTAACTAACATCCGAATCAGATGTTCTCTCCTTGGTGAACGGGCTGGACTTTGGTTTCCTGGTGAGGACTGATACCTCCGGCAGAAGGCTGAAGCTGCGATGAGCAGAGTGCGTGTGTGTGTATGTGTGTGGGGGTGGGAGGGGTTCACGGGGATTTCCCCTGTAAACCAGAGAAGTGGCCTGAGAGTCCAATCTGCTTTGGCCACATCTGATTATGTCGATAGGAGATGGAAACCCAGGCGACTGGCCAAGAGCAGAGACCAGACTCCTGGCTTAAAGGGATGGGGCTGATGCAAGATGTTGCCTAAATCAAGGCAGTTACACCTCCGATGCCCAAATCCCGGTCCTAGCTGTACTAGGAAGAGCAATGTTCTCAATCCCGTGGCATGTTTTTTGACCTAAGACCACATATGATTTTATTGTGGAAAGTCGACACGAAAGTAAAAACTGAGTTTTGTTTTGAAGATGTAGCACTTGGTGCCTTCTCTTATGCTCTCCCCTTCAAAGACAGGCATACCCCTTCAGTCTTCAAATGCCCTGAGCTCTTTTCTGCATGCAGGTTCTGCTACCTGCTGCACCCTCTGCTACCCCCATCTCTTACTCACACCACCTCCCAGACCTCCCCGACACGGGACTCCCTCAGTACCCCTCAGGACTGACAGCTGTGTGTGCTCATTTTCTGTTCTGCCCTCTCCCCCAGCCACAGAATGTAAGGAAAAGGACTCGTCTCTCCTGGTTGTCCCCCACGATCTGCCTGACTGCCGGGACAGTGCCTTGGAGACTATTTCCTGAAGTGCAGGAATTCTGTCATTATTAATTTTGTATTCCCAATGATCTCAACCAAAACAGTATAAAAATGATGTTTATTAAGTAAATTCCCATTCTTACTCTGCTTATCACAATGCATTAGTTTGCTGACAAATGACATAAACTTATTTTTAACATCAAAATTTTAAAATATTGCCTATACTATCTGCATTAAATATCACCTGGGAAAATAAAAGTATAACTTAAGTTCTTTTTTCCTTTTGAGAGAAATTGTTGCTATAGGACATGTGCACTTGCTAGTGACAGAGACAGAGAGAAGGAATGCAAGAAATCACCCCCCAGGGTGGATAGTCGTGTTGCAATCCCTCCTCCAGTCTCCTCTCAAGGTTGTGGGCATGCACACACACACACCTGGTGTGAGTTTCAAGCCACCGGGTCTGGAACTCGGACCATAGTTGACTACATGGGAGTACAGCAATGCACGTAAGCATTAGGCTATCTGCTGGTCCCTATAATGGTGGCTCCTAACTCTTATAAGCTTCTTTCTAGTACCATGTGGCATATACACTCATTTTAATAACAACTGAAAAAAGTCAGTTACACTTACTGTGTCATAATCTGACGGTATGAGATATCTCTAGAAGTAACCAAGCATAGATACCAGGGCTAAAACCAGGGCTAGTCATCACTGGTTAAGGTTTTTGGCTTTAATGGTAGACATAAAATATCTCAGGAACTTTTAATTTTCTTTTTTTTTTGGAGAGGTTTTTGCTACAGGGTGTGTGCACTCGCCAGAATGACAGAGAGAAAGACAGAGAGACAGAAAGCGAGAAATCACCTCCCCAAGGGGGATGGCCATGCTGCAATCCCTTCTCCTCCATTCTCCTTGGGATCTTGGGCATGCACGCACACGTGCCCGAAGTGAGTTTAAACCACTGGGTCCGGGACTCGAGCTGTGGTTGACTACATGGGAGTTCAGTGACATAGCCATTACACTAACTGCTGGTCCCGGAACTTTTAATTTTAAAGAAAAGTTGATCTTCAGTATCTATTATATTTTAGAATGAAGTAAAAGTTAAACTAGCTGTTAACATGGAGTACATGACATCTAGTCAATTCCTTTGTTGATAGCGATAAAGCTGGACTTGCCAATATTCAGGGTTACTGCCTTTTTTCTTTTTAAAGAGAGATTTTTTGCTGTAGGGTGGATGTGCTCATAGGAGAGACAGAGAGTGACAGAAGGAGAGAAAGAGAGAATGCACCCCTTGGGGGGGTGGCCACGATACAATCTGTCCTTGTCCATTCTCCTCTTGGGATTTTGGGCACACATCCACACCGCTTGAGTTTCAAGCCGCTGGGTCCGGGACTCAATCCACATCAGCTGGCCATGTGGGAGTCCAGCACCTTAATCACTATGCCACTTGCTGGGCCCTAGGCTTACTGATTTTTAAAAAATATTAACCCACATTACAGTCCCCCCACACCAAAAAAAAAAAAAAGCATCAGCTCACACACATTTCACTCTGTGATCCTACCTCCTACAATGGGATCCACAGGATGGAGAAGTCCCAATGTCGTTGTCCCATCTGGTTTTCTTCTTTCAAATTCACACTGCAATGACCAAAGTAGTCAAATGGAATAAACTTTTATACAAATACTACAAAGTTTTATTTAATCAAACAAATGTCACAGGTGACTATCAACACAAAATGTAAGGCCTAACTTTCATGACTATCTTGGTGTGTAAAGCTGTTTGCTGATGGGTGAGAGAAATGAAATTTCTGGGAACCTCAGAATTTTATTAAAGAGCTGAGTATGTGTGTCCTTAAAGCCACTTAGTTCTATCAAAAGGGGAGGATATTGTGGACTAGGAGAGGAGAGTGCCTTGCCAAGTCATTTATGAATCCACTTGGTTTTAAAACCAATGGGCCAAACAACATAATTTCAAAAGACCAGACTGTAAATACATGCTTATAAGCTTGTAACAAAGTATGTACTTCATTTTCTAATTTTAGAACACATTAACTTCACTAGAAAAAAAAATGCAGTAATAGAGGATAAGATTAATCATACACTTTACAAATAAATTATTAATCTTTCTTCTGTGAGGGTTACAGTGATGTAGAGTTAGCTCTATGGAGGATATGGCTATGGATTAAAATACACAAGAGTGTAAAAACTGAAAGTTGCAGCTAATCCAAAATGGTAGGTAGAGAAAGGAAAAGTTCCATCACCTGACTATTAACCAGCCGTCTGGTCAGCTTTCCTCCAGACTCCTTAACAATGCGGTCAATCTGTTCCTGCTCTCTTTCAAAATTATTGCTTTTAAACTTATCTTCAAGCATATCTTTGTCTTTCCTGAAAACACACATTAATACTAAGTTTAAAAAAAAAGGATAAAATGAAAACATTAAAATGAATTGCAAACATGAATACAGCTGAGGTGGAGACATTTGTACAACTGTCTCTGATTAATACTTTGTTCCTTAATATCTTGGTAAGGGCCCCTACTAATACACAAACAGTAAGGCAAACTGATACACTGGTTATTTCCCTCCCTCTTTTATCCAGTGTTATTTATCTCAAATGTTTTCCTAGGCATAATCACAAAAATTAATTCTACTTCCAAGTTTTTTTTTTTTTTTTAAAAGAAAAAGTGTGCAAACGAGATAGAAATAAGTAGGAGAGGAAGGAAGAGACAAAGAGAAGGCACCTTCCATAGCGTTTCCTCATGCCAACACAAGAGTGTAAAAACTGAAAGTTGCAGCTAATCCAAAATGGTAGGTAGAGAAAGGAAAAGTTCCATCACCTGACTATTAACCAGCCGTCTGGTCAGCTTTCCTCCAGACTCCTTAACAATGCGGTCAATCTGTTCCTGCTCTCTTTCAAAATTATTGCTTTTAAACTTATCTTCAAGCATATCTTTGTCTTTCCTGAAAACACACATTAATACTAAGTTTAAAAAAAAAGGATAAAATGAAAACATTAAAATGAATTGCAAACATGAATACAGCTGAGGTGGAGACATTTGTACAACTGTCTCTGATTAATACTTTGTTCCTTAATATCTTGGTAAGGGCCCCTACTAATACACAAACAGTAAGGCAAACTGATACACTGGTTATTTCCCTCCCTCTTTTATCCAGTGTTATTTATCTCAAATGTTTTCCTAGGCATAATCACAAAAATTAATTCTACTTCCAAGTTTTTTTTTTTTTTTAAAAGAAAAAGTGTGCAAACGAGATAGAAATAAGTAGGAGAGGAAGGAAGAGACAAAGAGAAGGCACCTTCCATAGCGTTTCCTCATGCCATGATTCCCCTCTCCCAAGCCCTTCAGCTGCTCAGGCTCCTGGGCATGAGCATCTGGCCTATTTTTCAGGCTGACCCAGGGTTTGAACCATTGTCACTGCATAGCTTCCAGCATTGCAGGGCACTAGTGTTACCTCTATGCCACAGCAGCTGGGCCTTAAACTTCATTTTTAAAGGGTGAAAGTATACAATGTTTTTTAAATTACAATTTCAAATACATTTAAAATGTGTAAGTCTTAGAAACAGAAGAACACCAGATAAGTTTACTCTCTTTGCATGGTGACAGTGACAGCAGGAAGCCCAACCTACTACGTCTGACCTTCCCCAAAGTTGGTCGAGAGGTGTTGGCCAGGCGGGGCCGCAGGCAGCGGTGTGAGCAGGATGGGGGGAGGGGTTCAGCCCACTGGCCGCTGCTGGGAGGGCCCGTGGTCACGCCTGCTCCTGCCTGCTGATGTCTAGTGGAGAACACGTACACATGTCAGCAAACGCCCGTCTGCTCAGGAAGGAGCTTTCACTGTGCTTGTGCTGAACCGCGCTTGCTCCTTTACAGAATGAGGTAATCAGTACACATTTTTCCTTAAACAAATAGTTCTATTTAAATAAACCTACTGACAATATAAGTCCCTAAAAATAATCCATTGGTTTAAAAACTACTTTACTAAGAATACACATTTCTGAACTGTGTGTGGACCTTTCCACATGGTGCTTCACATGAGAAAAAACTAACAGATCATCAAAACGGACCTGAGGCCCCAAACAACCACTACTCACATACTGGGCTGGGTCTTTCCAGCTGGTATTCCTCCCCCTTATTAGCTTGAAAAAGATAGTTTAACCTTAACATCCCCAAGATTCTTTACTTTTTATTTTCCTTAGTGGGACTTTTGAAGGCTTGTGCTTCAGCATCTCCACAGTCTTCCCTCTCTCTTGGCCAGGAGCCGCTGTCCTCCCCACTCTGCGAGGTGTCTGTTTTGTCTTTCTGCTTTCGAGTTTTTTGCAAGTCTGCCATGAAGTCTATGCTCTGCTTCAGGCTCTGAATTCTTTCCTAAAAATGTTGAAAAATATTCTTATTGAATGTTTATAATTTGCTTTTTAAAGTATTTTTTTTCCACAAAAGTTTGCAACTTCTTCTGTCATTAACTAGAAAAGAAAAAGTTAAATTTAATTACACTAACTGAATATCACATTTAGAATACAAATTATCAGTATTGACTCAGATCATTTAATATTCAACATAAGAGAAAACTTTAGGGACTAGCAGATGGCATAATGATTACATTGCTGGATTCCTGCATGGTCAACTGTGGTTTGAGTCCCAGACCCAGCAGTTTAAAACTCATGCAGGGTGCGTATATGTGCGGGCCCAAAATCCCGAAAGGAGAATGGAGAAGAAATTATGGTGTGGTCACTCCCCTCCACGTGGTGATTTCTCACGTTCTGTCTCTCCAGTGAGCATACACATCCTACAGCAAAAAATCTCTCTAAAAAAAAAGAAGAAGAAGAAGAAGAAGCTTTGTAACTCCTGCACCATCAGGAAGCCAACAGACAAGAAAACTGACTACTGCAATACTGGAGTAAAAACGCTTAGTTAATAGTATGTGAAAAGTTGGTATTTAAGAGACTAGCTTATCTTTTGAAACTTAAGAATTATCAGGTATGCTAAAACCTTGCGCATGGGAAATATCTGTATGTTCTGCTCTGTGGTAGTCAAAGATGTCACTGCTATTTTGCTCTATGTTAAAAACATACCTTCAGGAGAATAAAATGTTCATAGCATAGTTTCTTTCTCGGAGCACATAATGTTCTTACTAACCAGAGTTTGAATTTACAACACACGTGCTTAATTTTCCACTGCAATCACGTGCTATAAAATCTTCATGGTGGGCAAAGGCTTGAGGTTTCTGGGTAATCTTTAACTGCTAAAGGGGGTGGGCACTCCCAAGAAGGGGAGAGAGGGAGAGCACTCCTCAATGGTAGAGGGTGAGAGGGCTACAATCCTCTTTCCTTTGTTTCTTCATCCTGTAAGGATTTTGTGCCAGCACACGCACGTACCCTGTGTATTTCTCAAGTCACTGGGATTCAAACAGTGACTGGTCATGTGGAATTGGCTCCCTAAGCATGGAGCTTAACCACTGTACTACGGGACTGGCCCAAGTAAAAGGCAAATTTGTTCTTATTGACCACTGCACCTTTTAACTCTGAGAGTTGTCACTGGATAAAATACTGAGTGTAGCCTCTTCAGGGCTGCATAAAAACAGCAAGGCAGGGACCAGCAGTTAGTGTAATGGCTATGTCGCTGGACTCCCACGTAGTCGACCGCGGTTTGAGTCCTGGACCCCACCCAGTGGCTTAAACTCACGTTGGGCGCGTGTGTGTGTGTGTGCCCAAGATCCCGAGAGGAGAATGGAGGAGAAGGGATTGCAGCGTGGCTATCCCCTCTGGGGGGGTGATTTCTCGCTTTCTGTCTCTCTCTCTCTCTGTCTGGCAAGCGCATGTGCCCTATAGCAAAAATCTTCCCCCCCAAAACAAAAAACAAAAACAAAAACAAAAAAGCCAGCAAGGCAATCTTTTGTGGAATAACAGAAAGTAAGAACTGGAAAGTATCAAGAAATCATTCACACGAGAACAATGCAGCTCAGAAATGCTACATAACTCATCTACGGTCACAATCCAGTGCCTAAGGCTAGGCCTCTTGTCACTGATGACAGGCCTTTCCCTATTCCTCTTTGTTCTGGTACCAGTGCGAACGGTGAGACCCTCGAGAACACAGATCCTGCTATTTTTACTAGACTTTTAAAGTAATCTTAAAAATATTAAAATAATGTAATTTACTGTAGACAAATAAAGATATGGGTAGAAGAAAAAAATAAATACTTTATCTTCCAGAGGGGAGCAGTGGTAATACATTTACCACTTCAGTACTTTTCTAAGCATTTTATTGGGTTGTTGGAAAAGTCATGATCATTTTTGCATAGAAAAATACATCATGAATTTTCCAAAAACCCGGTGTGTCTATCTTTGCAAACTGGAATTATGCTGGGTATCTGGTAAAAAAAACATTTTTTCCAGTTAATAAAGTATAAGTATATCCCCTCCATATCACCAAATAGTCCTTAAAATGTTTTTAATAACGGTAATGCATTTAATCCTACACTCTGATCTAATTAACCTGTAACTGTACGGATTGTACACTTAGGAGTTCCAAGTTCCTCCTACTACAAAAAAACATGAACATCACACAAATGCATCTCTCTAGAAATCTCTATCTTTTAGGATAAATTACCTGAAGTGGAAACACTAGGGTCAAAGGAAATGCCTATTTTTAAGGCTTTTGATACTTACTGCCAAACTGCCTTCCAGAAAAGTATCAATTTATATTATTGTCTGAAAGTTTCTCTGAATCCTTGCCAAACTGAACAGTATCATTAAAAGAAAATGCAGTTTGACCTTTTTTTAAAGGAATTATTCGTTTAATTTTATTTATTGTTGTTAATAACATCATTTTATTCACCAGAGAGAGAAAGTGAGAGAGCAAGCTGCCAGGTCTGAGACTTGAACCACAGTCAGCCATGTGGGAGTCCAGTGCCCTTAACCACCATGCCACCTGCTGGCCCACTGAGTTTGACTTTTAAAAACATGTTTTACCTTACTACATAATTTACTTATTTTGGAGAATTTTTTTGTTACAGGGCACATGTGCTTACCAGAGATACAGAAAGTGAGAGAAATCACCCCGCAGAGGGGAGGCCACACCACAATCCCTTCTCATCCATTCTCCTCTTGGGATCTTGGATGTACACATTCATGCGCCCCGTGTGAATCTCAAGCTGCTGGGTCCAAGACTCAAACTGTGGTTGGCCATGTGGGAATATCTAACGCCTTAACCACCATGCTACCTGCTGGCCCCACCTTACCACATCATTTAAAAAGACTAGTTGAGTTTCAGCAGGTGGTGTAGTGGTTAAGGCACTGGACTCCCACATGTCTGACTTGGATTGAATCCCAGACCTGGTGGCTTGAAAGTCACACCATGCACACATGTGTGGTGTATGCCCAAGATCCCAAGAGGAGATGGGACTGTGGCACACTGGCCATCCCCCTTGGGGGGTGATTTCTTGCTTTCTGTCACTGCCTCACTGGCAAGCACACAGCCCTATAGCAAAAAAAAACTCCATCTCTCAAAAATATTAATTAAAAAATAAAAAGACTAGTGAGTTTATTTCTTGGGTCATTCATTAGTCATTTGTAAATCCCCTTGTGTGAGTCACTTAAGTCATGTCTTAGATCTTTATATCCCTAGTACCTAAAAAGGGACCGGCACACAGGAGGTACTTAAGAAATGTTGATTAAGTGAAAGGACTTGGATCATGAAGTTCTTGGAAACCCTTTTGTTTCCACTCTAGAATTTTATAAAGCAGAATCTATATTAAGAACATCTTGGGATTTTTTTTTTTTTAAAGAATCCAAGCACAAATTAAAAATAATTCATTTAGAGAAATTCCCCAAATTTAGAAATAAACCACAGGAAAGAAAATGCCTTTTTCTTTTGTCGTAATTAAGATATCTCCACATCAGTATGCTACTTATTGATCCCCAGCTTTACAATATTAAATTACTAAAATAATGGATTCTTTGCCATTGATATAGCTAACACTCACTGAGTGCTTCCCCACATGCCAGACATAACTCTGTGACGTAAGTACTATGATCACCCCCATTTTACAGGACAGGAAGAAGGCTGTAACGTTACATGACCTAAGGTTATCCAGCTTTTAAATGGCAGGAGTAGGACTTGAACCTGAACTGTAAGATAATCCAGCTAGTAATGCTACAAGTACTATTTGTACTACTTTGTACCACAACCCAGTGTTCCACTCAAGTACTTATTTAGGAGATCAAAAGAGGTATTATTCATCTGATCATGGTTCATAAAAATATGTCTACTAGTAGTCACTATTTGGATGTACCTGAAAAAAATGATGAATAACTACTTTGTAATTTCAAGAATATACATTCAAAACCAGTTATCACTAAAGACACCATTCGTGGAAGGTTGTGCTGGGCTCTCTGGGGAGGACTGCTCTTAGAGAAATTAACTCGGAAGGTCTAAATTTAAAACCTTTTAAAATCACTGTAAGGATCCCTCCCATCCAGGGTGGAGAGAACAGTCAACAGGAAGCTATAACACAGGATGGGTAGGGCTCCTCCACAGGAAGAGATCTGAAAAAAAGGAGAGAGAAGAGAGGAGAGAGAGAGAAAGGGAAAAGGAAAATGGAGAAGAAAGTTTATTTTCTGTGCTTCCAAACATCTCACCCCCAATACGGTTCAAGGGATAACTGGAATTTTTTGAATGTTCCATTAACTATATTATCTACAGAAGAGAAAAATGGTAGTAAATCAAAGGTGACTAAAAAATTCACTTTCCCCCAAATTCAATATACACATTTTGGAGTGAATAAAGAACCCATCTGCTGAATGTACTTTTGTTGCATTTGAACTAAAACAAACACACTTTATTAATAAGTGTAGAATGTACTTTATTGTATTATTCAAATATGATACTAATAAGAAGCACTTCCAGGTTTTAAAACATAAGATATGGTTTGGTGTTAGATTCAGAGAGTCCTTATGCTAAGAGTGGGAATACATTTTATATTCCCCCTTTACTAGGTAGAGTTTGCGTAAGACAGATTAACTGGATTACACTACAGTTTCCCACGTCTCTAGGAAAGGGTGGAAACTAATGTTGTCTAAATATTAGGAGTGCACGAATAATCATCAATGCAAATGTTTTTGTTTCTCTAGTAAAGCAGATCCAAGAATTTCTCAGAGCCAAGTACATAGTCAGACATCTGCACACCGAGGCGTTTCTTCAAATGTAAAACTGTAATACAGATGATCATCGGAAAAACTGGAAAATGGTATGTGACTTCGCATGACTCACTTTACTATTCTTTTAACTTCTGAATCTGAGCTTAATTCTGATTGCTTAATTTTTCTACTTGTGCTGTAACAACCACTCATTTCTTTACAAAACCCCTCTCCTACCCTGTTCTTTTGCATACTCTAGCTCTGATCAGACTATTAATGCAAGAAAGCATCTCGGAGATCACAGATTAAACCCCTCTTCATTGTGGATGATAAGGGTGAGGCCTTGCTGGTTAATGTCTTGCACAAGGCCCATAAGTCAGTGGAAGAGAGCTAACACTGGAACTCAGTCTTCTGACTGCCCGAGGTATGATGGCAAGATCACCTTCAATTAGCTTCCCTTAAGTAATCCTTACTTGTAGGTGCATTCTACTCAAGAGTTGTGAGTAAAACCTCAGAGGAGGGTGAGAGTCATGGGGATCTCTCCTATGAATTCTTCTCTCCCAGCAGAGGCACAGTAACCATCTCAGTTGACCCTTCAAGGTCTTTCATGAGTTATTGCTTTGGGAGGACTCATCATTTTCTTTTCTCTCTCTCTCTCTCTCTTTTTTTTTTTTTGGAGAGGTGTTTGCTATAGGGCATGTGCACTTGCCAGAAAGACAGAGACAGAGAGACAGAAAGCAAGAAATCACCCCCCGGGGGGATGGCCACAATCCCTTCTCCTCCATTCTCCTCTCAGGATCTTGGGCACACATGCACATGTGCCCGGTGTGAGTTTAAGCCACTGGGTCTGGGACTCAAACCGCTGTCAGCTACACAGAAGTTTAGTGACATAGCCATTACGCTAACTGCTGGTCCCAATTTTCTTTTTGAAGAGATATTTTTGCTATAGTACATGTACACTTGCCAGAGACAGAAAGAGAGAAAGAGAGAAAGCAAGAAATAACTGCCCGCAGGGACGGCCATGCCGCAATCCCTTCTCCTCTATTCCCCTCTTGGGATTTTGCGTACGGACACCGAGCATGAGGATTCATCATTTTCTACTACTACCTTAAGTATTTCATGCTTAAACTCACGCAGCTCAATAATGGGTTTGTGCCTCCACACATACTCCTTTCACCTCGAATGTCTTCCTGTGCATCAGTTCTAACCCACCAAGGAGTCTGCTCTTGTGGAGAATCTTCCAAATATTTCTCATTTGTGTATTTTGTTTCTTTCTACTAGGAGGACATAACTGATCAGAACATTTAATTCCATCATTACAAAGGGCAACAATGAGCTTTCCCCCTAAAAGGTCTCTTAAAATTTACCCAGTCTCCTGGACTTCAGATTGATGTTTCTTCCACAGCAAAAGTATGCTGCCCATAGAAAAAATAAATCTGTCCTGTGAACCACAAGTCAAAAGACTAAAGAAGTAATTACTAGAGAATGCGAACATTTATCTCTATTAATTCCAAATGAGAGCCTTCCTGCCATAATTTTCTTATTATTAATTTTTTTCATTATCTCTTACTTCAATATAATCTGCCAATAAAACAAAATCAACACTGTATTGGATTTGTATCACTATGACCAGCAAACATAGGGATATACATTTTATAATAATTATCATTTATGACAAAGCGTTCCCTTTACCTGGCTAAGAATTTTCATTCCTGAGTGCAACAACTTCTTCGCAGCTTTGTAATAAATGGTTTCTGGTTTGTTGTAAATCATGGCATTAGTACACATCAGTTTGAAGTTATCCTGCAGAGAGAACATTGAGGGGGAAAGTGCATTAAAACAAAGTAAACCCTCCACTCCCCTATTCTGAAACCACATAGGTCTTTAAAAATTAAAACAAAAGAAAACAAAACACAACATCCCTTTCACTGTTTGCTAAACATTAAAAGCAATCTATTAACTTTTATGATTTGCCAACCGAGTAAATAATAAATTTATTTATATATGGTACATATTTTCCCAAATTCTTGAACATTTTATAGTACCTGTGTGTTAAACTCCAGATCCTAAAATAAACATTTTTGATGGGTTATTTCAGTACATAAAAAGAACTTGAAGGAAATAATTTTATTTAAGACTGTTAGTTGAGTAGTATATATAATTAACAAATATTACTCCTAGTTTTAAAACAAGCATCTTACGTTTCATCTAGTGGTTAAATATTTTACTTCAGATCTTAACTGAAAACTGGGAAAGGTGTTAAATTATTACAATATTTCCTGCCAAATTTAAATTAACTGAGCAAAAATGTTAAAATATTTATGCTATTTTTAAGTGTTTGGATACTATAATAAATTTGCAGAACGTTGCAAAATCATGCCAACGTGAAATAAACCATGTAACTTCAAGGAGTTAAAACATGGCCAGGGGCCAGCCAGTGACGTGGTGATCAAGGCAGCTGAATCCCACATGGTCAACTGTGTGGTTCAGTCTTAGACAAAGAGGTTTGAAAAACATCAGGACCAGCAGATGAATCAATGGCTACGTCACTGGACTCCCATGTGGTTGACCGTGGTTCGAGTCCTGGACCTGGTGGCTTACACTCACGCAGGACACGTGTACGTGCAGGCCTAGGATCCTGAGAGGAAAATGGAGGAGAAGGGATTACGGCATGGCCATCCCCCCTAGGGGGTGATTTCTTGCTTTCTGTCTCTGTCTGTCTTTCTGGCAAGCGCACGTGCACTATAGCAAAAACCTCTCAAAAACAAACAAAACATGCCGGCACATATGTGTGCATACCCAAAATCCTGAGAATGGAAGACAAGGGATGGCGGCATGGCTACTTCCCTAGAGTGCTTTCTTACTTCCTCTCTCTCTGGTGAACACACCTATCATATGATAAATTAAAAAAAAAAAAGGAAAAAAGTAACCAGAGTACCCAAATTACCAAAATTGTATTCTTGGCATATAAACTTTGACATATACACATATGCTGGAGAACTTAACCCCACTGCATTTTTTCATAGTTAAGTAATTTTTACATCCGTAAGTTTTAAAATGATGAGGCCTTATTAGGTTAAATAAATAAGGCCTTACTAGGTTAAAATGATAAGAACCCAACAAAAAAAGAATAACCCCTTACCAACTCCAAACAAAAACATTCACATTCCACTCTCTAATAGTGATAACGGCTTAGAATGCTTAAATGGAATGAGAGTAAGTAGACTCAGTTCCCTTAAAAGTTCATATGGTGGCGGAATCAGCAGTTAGCATAATGGCTATGTCGCTGGACTCCCACGTAGTCGACCGCGGTTTGCGTCCCGGACCCGGTGGCTTAAAACTCACGCCGGGCGCGTGTACATGCGTGCCCAAGATCCCAAGAGGAGAATGGAGGAGAAGGGATTGCGACGTGACCATCCCCCCGGGGGGTGATTTCTTGCTTTCTGTCTCTATGTCTCTGTCTGGCGAGTGCACGCACCCTATAGCAAAAATCTCTCCAAAAACAAAAAGTTTATACGGTGGCTAGAGGGTGGCACAGCGATAACACAATGGATCTACAGGGAAAAGTCCCAGGTTTACAACCCACAAAAGATGAGCCCCAGATCCAGGTATAGAGCAGGTGAATGCGTGTGCCCATAATTCTGGCTGGCAGAGGCTGACGGTGGATCGTGATATGCAAACCCTGTTGCAGGTGCCTCTCTCTTAGAATATAAATAAACTTAAAAAAAAAAGTATACCAGGCCAGCAGGTGTGATGGTTAAGGTGCTGGATCTGACATGTCTGACTCTGTGATTTGAGTCTCAGATTCAGCAGTTTGAGAAACACACTGGGCACGGGTGCACGCATGCCCCAAATCCCAAGAGCAGAATGGAGAAGGGACTATGGCGTGGCCATGGGGGTGGCAGGGAGCTGATTTTTTACTTTTCCTCTCTCTGTGTCTCTGTCTCTCTCAGGTGAGCACAAGCACTCCATGGCAAAAACCTTTAAAATGAAAAAGAGTCTCCTAGGACCAGCAGTTAGCGTAATGGCTATTTTGCTGGACTCCCATGTAGTCGACCGCAGTTCGCATCCCGGACCCAGTGGCTTAAACTCACGCCGGGCACGTGTGCGTGCGTGCCCAAGATCCTGAGAGGAGAATGGAGGAGAAGGGATTGCGGCGTGGCCATCCCCTCTGGGGTGTGATTTCTCGCTTTCTGTCTCTATGTCTCTGTCTGTCTGGCGAGTGCACGCGCCCTATAGCAAAAACCTCTCTCAAAAAAAAAAAAAAAAAAAAAAAAAAAAGACTAATTCAAGGATCACAATACATATGGTATTAAATGTTAGGTGGTTCCTAAGTTTCACTCAAGTCTCTAAACAGGATTTTGCTGTGTCCCAGTTCCCTAAGAATCTGATGAAAGCTATTAAACCACTCCTCAAGTATACACAGAGTTGAATACAAAAGTTGTTACATAAGTTTTAGGTTTCTGATCCCACAAAAGGTTCATTAGTGACTACTACTCAAAGAACCTCAGATTAAGAACCTTTGCTACAGATAGTTCTGAAAAACTTGATTCCATTAAGGATTATTAAATATGTATTTGGGGGAAGGGAAAGCAAGTGAGGGGAGACACTAGATATTGAAGCTATGCTCATACTAAATGACCATTTTGCCCACAACTGGCAAAAACATGGGTCAATGAACTGGTAAGAGAGTACAGTACTCATTCTAAAGATCAGAGGTCTGACCTGTTGAGGCAGTTTGTAGATTCCATAAATCTTAACTAGACTTCACTGGACTTTTTGTAATGGCACTTGGTCACTTAAAAAGTTAAATCTGTTTGCACATTTTTCACATACATACATGGGGTCTTCAAGAAGTTCATAGTAAACACATATGAAAAAACCATGCATAGACTTCAAATTGTTTTGTACCAAATAAACTTGTACTTTAATTTCTTTTTTTTCCAATTTTTTAAAGAGTTATTTTATTTAACTTTATTTATTTAAAGTTGACCAGAGAGGGACAGAGTGAAACAGAGAAAGAAAGGGAAAGTGAGAGAGCAAGCCGCCAGGTCTGGGACTCAAACTGTGGTCAGCCATACGGGAGTCCAGCACCCCCAACTACACACCACCTGCCAGCCCCTTTAATTCTTTTTTTAAAATGCCAGGGGGGTGTGTGTGCACACCAGAGAGAGGAAGGATGTGCTCCCTCCCCAAAGTGGCCTCATCATACCACGACCCTCTTTCCTCTCTACTCTTTTCTGTCAGAATTGAGAGTATGTGCACATGTAGTAGGCGTATTTTCCAAGCCTCCTGGGGCAGGAGGTTCACTGTGGTTGGCTATGTGGGATGCAGCTCTCTCCACAGAGCACCTCTCTGCTGTGCTATGGGCTGGCCTTTTAATTCCACTTTTCTAGATTTTTTGAAACCCCACCCTGTACGTGTGTGTATCAATACATATGTACCTTACTTCAACAGCTGAATGAGCCCAGTAAGTTAATACATATTACTTTATTAAATTCTCTTTAGAAAGAGTAGTTAGGGGGTGGGCCCACAGTCTAGTGGTTTAAAAGAGTTGGGTCCCACGTGGCTGACTACAGTTCAAATCCTGGGCCCAACAGCTTGAAAAATACACTAGGTGTGTTTGTGTGCATGCCCCAAATCCTGACAAAAATGGAGAAATGGAGAAGAAACTGTGGTGTGGCCCCAGCCCAATGGAGGGCACTTTATTCCTCTCTCTCTCTCTGATGAGCACACGTGCCATCTGGCAACTAAAAAAAAGTGTAGTACTGTACAACACTGAAAAGTTAAAAAATACCTGTTCATTTCCTTATGATAAGCCTTAACCTGCTGAGAAACACTCAAGGGACAGGCTTCCATTCTTTCCTGTCGCTATGGGATAAAGATCAGAGGAAAACCACTCACAAAGAGAAAAAAATCCCCTAAAACTGTAAAATTCTCTCCCATTAAGCAATAAGGTCAGAAATATGCTGAAACAGTTTTAGCTTAATTTTTACCAGATGAAAAGTTGGGGAAAGTTTCTTTTTCTCTGAATAAAAGAATGCAATTCAGGTTTTTCAGAGTAAGTGGAATATTATCTGCACACTCCAATAAGAGAATTAAATGCTGCTGTTCTTCATAAATTTCAGCTGTTCACCTTGTGGACTAAAAAAAGAACCAAAGAGACCAGACACCAGCAGATGGCATAATGGTTACATCACTGGACTCCCACGTGGTCAATCACCCATGGTTCAAGTCTCAGACCCAGAGGTTTAAAACTCACACTGTGTGTGTGTGTGTGTGTGTTGTGTATGGGCGTGTGTGTCTATGCCCCAAATCCAAAGGAGAATGGAGGAGAAAGGATTGCAGCATGGCTATCTTCCCTGGGGCGATTTTTCACTTTCTGTGTACCTCTTGTCTCTCCAGTGAGTGTATATGCCCTATAGCAAAAATCTCTCTAAAAACAAACAGACCAAGTAAAGATAATATTTACTATTTTAGTTTCTTTCTATGATTGGGGTCTAGCCTTCAAGTCAGTTGAGCACTATACTGTTTATGTGGGAAAAAATAAAGTAAAATAGATATCATCGAAATTAGTTAAATTTGTGGTGGTTTAGTAAGAAGTAAAATTTAAACACATATAGTTCTTTTCTTTGGATGGACAATTAAAATAAAAAGTGTACCCCTTAGATACATCGATAGACTATTTAAAGATGGTTAAAAAACAAAACAAAACAAAACAAAAAACCCGCAACTATAACATTAGGCACAGATGTTATCTTGGTGACTTTTAGGTTTTTTCCTTCTTTCTCTTTTTTTTGTAAAGCTTACTCATTTCTTCCATAGTGAGAGATACTCAGGGGGTGATGGAAGGAGATAGAGACTACTCCCAACAAGGCCTTGACATCACAATCCTCCCCAAGCTGCAGCTACCCCAGATCACGGGCACATGCAGCTTCTCAGGACACTGAGTTTTATCACTGTGTAATCAGCCAGCCTGCGTAAAAGGGTTTTATTTTCTTCTTTATAAAATTGAAGAAAATATGCTCAACAAAGATCGTCAAAGTGAATCCCAGGAATAATTGACTTTCATCAAACAAGGAAACATAATTAAACTTCTCTTCAGTATTTCTCTATTTTAGTATTATTTATTTAATGTTCTCTATTTTAGAAGATATGTGACCATAAATGTCTGGAGATAGAAAAAAAAACTATCCTGGGCCAGCCTTGCAGCCAAGGGAACCAGAGCCTATGTGGCCAACTACATGGAATCCTAGCCCTGGTGGCTTGAAAAACATGCTGGATGCATGTGCAAACATGCCCAACATGACAGGGAAATAGAGAAGGAACTGTGGTATGACCATACTCTGCGGGGGCAGTGGGATGGAGGAGTGCATCCTGGAGAGGACATGCAACCTCCGACAATTAAAAAAAAAAAAAAAAAAAAAAAGACTATAATAATTGAACTTTTATTAAAATATCAATTTTACTTATATTGATCTTAAGTTAAAAACTTAACATCTTTTCATTTTAATGGAAAGGAAAATATATTACAGTACATATCAAACTCAATATTTCTCTAAAAACAACAAAAAAAGAGTAAATAATAGATGGTTTATTTCAACTTTTTTTTTTTAGGTTTTTGCCATAGAGTGTGTATGCTTGCTCAAGAGAGACGGACAGAGACAGTGAGAGAGAAAGTGAGAACTCACCCCGCCTACATCTCTTCTCCTCTTAGGATTCTGGGTATTCATGGATATGCGTCTGGCATGATTTCTTGGCTGTCAAGTCTGGGACTTGAACTGCAGTTGGCCATGTGGGTGTCCAGCATCTTAACCACTACATCACCTGCTGGCCCCTTCATCTGAATTTTTATCATTGAGCTCAGATAAAGTTTTCAAAAAAACACAAAGATTTTGGATACTGAAATAAATTCAATTCTTTGCAAAATCAAAGGTCGCTCGTAAAGATTCTGAAAAGCAGACATGCAGATTTCTACCAAGATTCTTTGTATTTAGGATCCAAGAGTTTAACTCACAATTTAATAAATACATTACTTTGTATGACAGGTCAGTTTACTTCTTTAATAAAAACATAAACCATTATACCTTTAGTTCTTCTATGGACTGGTAGTCATTGTTCTTGATCTTTTCTTTCATGGTACTAAAATCCATTGGGTGTTTAATGATCATGGAGTAGCCAGGAGCAATAAAATCAGTCACAGGAAATGAAAAGAAAGCACTTGGGTCTTTTCTGTGAAGACATGCAAAAGGCAATGTTATATTTTTACTAAAAACAAACCTATTGGTCTAAGGGCAGAAGTCAGAGGAAATCTTCAGATGTAGAAAGAATGTGCAGTATGTCTACATGTTTTTCACTAAAAACTGAAGTAATGATTCTAAATACTAATAACTATTTAATAACAAGGTTAAGACTTTTAAAACACATGCTAGTTGTACACTTAAGTCAGAGAATCTTTCTTTTTTAAATATTCAGCCTAATAGATGCAGGCAAAAATTAAGCAAAATAACCTAAACAACAGCTTAGTCTTTGGGAGATTAGTACTGAGTATTTTTTAATCAGCCCCACGGAAAAGGACAGAAACAATAAACTATGAGTATACATTTGCAATCCTCCATATTACTTTCTAAGGTAGGCTTGCACTCTTGTTCCATGTATGCGTATTTTCTCAATCAGTAGATACAACCTCTATCATGTAAGAAATGTGGGGGTGCTCAACTGACACTAAACAAAGAATCTCTTAATACCCCTACATTTGCAAATCAGTGCTTTTAAATCACAGGTTCTTTTTTTTTTAATAATTATTTATTTAATTTTATTTATCCATTCATTTATTTTAATTTGACAGAGAGAGATGCACAGAGAGAGGAGAGGGAAAGTGAAAAAGCAAGCCACCAGGTCTGGTATTCGAACCATGGTCGGCCATGTGGGAGTGTCTAGCGCCTTAACACCACGCCACCTGCTGGTCCCCGGTAAAAGAGATTTTAAACTGTGCTTGCTTGAGAACAAATTGTTCCCAATTTGCTAATGTAGTTTGTTTTGTTTTTTTATTCTTTTTTTTTTAATAATTATTTATTTAATTTTATTTATCCATTCATTTATTTTAATTTGACAGAGAGAGATGCACAGAGAGAGGAGAGGGAAAGTGAAAAAGCAAGCCACCAGGTCTGGTATTCGAACCATGGTCGGCCATGTGGGAGTGTCTAGCGCCTTAACCACCACGCCACCTGCTAGTCCCCACAGGTTCTTGACTTCTGGCTGTACAATAGAGTCAGCAGAGGAGCATGAAAAATATCCACAGGAGTATGGGGGAAGACTTACTCTAGACTCATTAAATCAGAATCTTTTGAGGAAGGACAGGAATGTCTAGGCATTGGTATTTCCAGGGTTGAGTATTGGAGTTGGTATCTGAGTATTTGGCACAAGAATTTCCAGTATTACCAGAGTTGAGAATCAGCACTCTACGTGATTAAGTCATTAGACTGATTCCCCCCCTACCCCCTCTGGAAATCTGGCATATAAAGTTTTTCTTTCTCCAAATTACAGCAATAGTAACTAAATGGTTTCAAACAACAATAACAGCAACAACTTTTAAAACTTATTTACCACACTGCCAGGTCCAATGATAGATACTTGATTTATTTTTTTCTAATCCTGACATTAAGGTAGTGGTATCCTCACTTGTATATGAGAATACTGAGGCTGAGAGGCAAAAATCATTTGTTCTAGGTCATGAATCTAATGAAAGAGTCAGAATCTGAATTCAGGTCCATGTGAATCTGCATCTTTCACATCAGAGAAATGCCCAAACAGTGAGACTTAAAAGAATAGCAGTAAGCAAAAACACTCAGCTTGGAACTTGTATATCAGAATGTATGCTTTTCATAGAAGTTACTGTAAATAACCACAGTACAGATCTCTGGATGACCTTCTGACTACCTTTCAGAGCAATTATCTACATTCCCTGAAATTTGAATATAAAGCCCCAACGAGTTTCGACTAAAATGGTTTTACCAAACTTGAAAAACATTTTTTTTTAACCAGGCTTAGGTCTGAACCTCAAGGATAAATAAGTATCCAATTACTAAGGCTCATCACAAGGATGTGGCTCTGGGTTCTAATGCCCAAAATGTTCTGAGCAGGACTAAGACATACTTTGTACCGAGACATACTTTCTAAAGTAGATTTCTTTTAAGGTGAAATGAATTAATCTATATTCTAGTCTTATGTTATAAGAAATAAAACTGAAAGGTAGCCAAAACACTTCATAGTTATAGCTTCTAGTAGGGATGGAAGGCCCAATACCTACCTACTCATCTTTTTGGGGCAAGTAATGAATGATTTATTCAAGTGTAAAAGACAAGAGATGTCCTTTTCTCAACTACTCTGAAACACCAAAAAAAGAGGCCGGTAACTTCTGATCTTAACTGCAAAGCTGAGTAGGTATTGAATATAGATTGCACTATAGACTTTTATCTTCAAACATTATTATGATATGTTCTGGGTTGACATATAAGTACATGTGAGAAGAAAGTCCACTATTAGAATGCATGTCCTATAACCATGATCCCTCCTCAAATAATGTAATATTGTTGAATTGAAAATTCAAATTCTGAGTATAGAAAGGTACAAAAAAATATTTTAACAAAGACTCAGTTATTCTTTTCGCTTTTAAGAACTTGACACTGGTTTAATCTAGACATTAAAATTCTTTGAATAAATACTGCACTTGGAAGAAGGGTCATAAATTCCAGTTTTGGTACTTAGTTTTTTCTTCCAGACTTAGTAACTGTTAAACACTCATGGCGTAACAAACACTCTATAAATTCACAAGAGGTACGTTGGTTTATCTATTTGCCTATTATTATATATCTCACAGAAATTCCATTTATCTTAAAAATACGATGGAAATTTGAGAATATCGATTCAACATTGAAGTTCATTTAAAGCTCTTATGCAGTGAGAGAGAAACATTCTAACCTTCTTGTTTGGCTAAAGAGCTTGTGAGAGGCTTCTCAGGAGGCAAATCTAATCTTATGGGGGCATGACACTGGAGGTCTTTTTCGGCTTCATTCTCCACACGGTCTCGATCTCGCTTTTTTTTATCCTCCTAAATGTAATAAAGAGAGATAACTCAGAAATCTTCCAGGATTAATGCCTTTAAATATGTGAGTCATTTACATTTCAGTCGGGGAGAAAAATAATGGAAAGAAAACAGATTTTTTTCCCTGCAGGTATAAAGTGTAGTTTATTACTCACTGCAACAGCAGCAGCCTGAATCAGCATTTGTGTTGGTTTTCTGAGCCCACTTTCCACTACCCAAAGGGTAATGCAAAGAAGTCATGTAATGATACTCGTACACATAGTATGGTGTATTTTATTATTTAGGTTAAAGTATAATTGACTTACTGCTTTTAAGTGAACTAAAATCTTTTTCATTAAAAAAACTATTTGTGAAGAAACAATGCCATCTACTGGAAAAGAAGAGAATGACATGTTCATAAAGAAAAGTACTCTGTCAGAAAACAATCAAAAATATAATAGTATTTACAAGAGTAATATAACACTCTTAGAAAGAAATCTAATAAAAGATGCCTGAAGAGCTTTTAGAAAAAAATATAAAACACTTTTGAAGGTTACAGTAAAAGACTGAAATAAAGAAGATATATTAATATATACCATGTTCATGAATTGGAAAGTAGTCAATTCTCAGGCCAGCCCTGCGATCTATTGGCTAAGGGAGCCAGGCTCCCCGTGGCTGACTGTGGCTTGAATCCTGGCCCTAGTGGTTGGAAAAACACACCACCCACATTTGCATGCATGGCCCAAATCCCAATGAGATGGAGTACTGGAGAAAGAATGGCAGTAAAAGCAGGCCACATTGGGAAGTGCTTTTTCCCCTTCCCTCTCTGTTGCTCTTCTGGAGACTGCATGCACCCTTTGGCAATAACAATAAAGCAAAGCAGTCGATTTTCTCCCAAGTAACCAATAAATACAGAACCAATCAAACTTATAAAACAATGTTTTTCATGAAACCTGACAAGCCAATTGTACAAGTTATCTTGAAAAATGAATGGTCAAGAATAATCAGAATAGTCTGAAAAAGGTCACAATAAGATCATGTGTCTTGCCACATACTAAGTATTTGTACAAAGTGATAAAACTAAGACAATGTGGGTCTGACATAGGAACAAACAGATTTACAGTAAAGAGCCACCAAATAAATCCATGCACAAAGAAAAATCTGGGTGAGTCAGAAAGGCAGCATTATAATCAAGGATAAATAAGTGGTCCTGGAACAACTGATTATCTACACTGAAGAAAAAATACAATTAGATCCCTACCTCATGCCATACGCTAAATAAAAACCTAAATGTATAAGGCAAAGCTTTAAAACTTCAAGTAAAAGCAAAGAATTTTTAAGACTCATAAGTATGTAAATTTTTTTGAAAATAAGACACACAAAAAATTAAATCTTAAAGGGAAAACTCAATAAATGTGACTCTATAAACTTACAGGCCCAGCTGATGGCCCAAAAACTACTGGATTGGACTACAGTGCTGAAAGCCATGTGGTGACTATAATCTAGTTCTCTGACATAGGTGACCTGAAATGTGCCCATGCCCAGACCCTGTTGAGAGTATTCTCTCCCCACCACCCAACTCTAAATTTAAAAAAAAAAAAAAAAAAGTAAAAAGCAGTTACAGGGACCAGCAGGTAGTGTGGTGGTTGAGGGCGCTGGACTCTCACGTGGCTGATTGTGGTCTGAGTCCTGAACCTAGCAGCCTGCTCTCTCACTTTCCCTTTCTCTCTGGTCAAACTAAGAAAAATAATAACAACATATAAATATTTCTTAAAAACATACACATGGGACCAGCAGTTAGCATAATGGCTATGTTGCTGGACTCCCACGTGGTCGACCACGGTTTGTGTCCTGGACCCGGTGGCTTAAAACCCACACTGGGCACGTGTGCATGCATGCCCAAGATCCCAAGAGGAGAATGGAGGAGAAGGGATTGCGGCGTGGCCATCCCCCCTAGGGGGCGATTTCGTGGCCATCCCCCCTAGGGGGTGATTTCTCGTTTTCTGTTTCTCTGTCTGTCTGTCTGGCGAGCGCATGCGCCCTATGGCAAAAAATCTCTCAAAACAAAACAAAACAAAAACAAAAACACACACACACACAACACAAATTTTGGTACCTTAACAAAACCTATAAACCAAGCTAAAAATCTAGGTATCAACTAAGATAAAGTTGACTTGACTCAGAAAGTATGAACCAAGATTACGTAAAGACCATCTACAAATCCATGCAAAAGGCAAAGAACTGCCCCCACCCAAACAGGTAAACATCATAGGCAATTCACAGAAGAAATCTGAAATATCAAGAAATATGAAAACTAGTTCAAGCTCCCTAAAACTTGGGGAATTATTCTCAGTTGGATTTTACAGACCTAAAAAGTTATTTTATTGACCTATGTCCCACATTCTTATTCCAGTACCTATAAGAATATTCTCAAAGCTTGGTGCTCCAACTAGGAACACCAGCATTATCTATGAATTTGCTAGAAATGCACATTTAGAGGTCATATTATGGTTCTCAAGTTGTACTGTGCTTCACAACCATCTAAAGTTCTTATTAAAACACAGACAGGGACCACCAGTTGGTATAGTGGTTACACTAGCAGACTCCCATGTAGTTGACCATGGTTTGAGTCCTGGACCTGGTGGCTTAAAACTCACACAGGGTGGGAACCAGCAGTTAGTGTAATGGCTATGTCGCTGGACTCCCACGTAGTCGACCGCGGTTCGCGTCCCGAACCCGGTGGCTTAAAACTCACGCCGGGCGCGTGTGCGTGCACGCCCAAGATCCCGAGAGGAGAATGGAGGAGAAGGGATTGCGGCGTGACCATCTCCCCTGGGGGGTGATTTCTCGCTTTCTCTCTCTATGTCTCTCTCTGTCTGTCTGGCAAGCGCACACGCCCTATAGCGAAAACCTCTCCAAAAAACAAACAAACAAACAAACAAACTCACGCAGGGCATGTGTGCATGCGTGCCCAAGATCCTGAGAGAATGGTGGAGAAGGGAATGGGTGTGGTCAGCCCCCCTGGGGAATGATTTCTCACTTTCTGTCTGTCAGCGAGTGCACATGCCCAATAACAAAAATCTTTCAAAAAACAAAACAAGGGAACGCTAAGGGAACAGCAGTTAGCGTAATGGCTATGTCGCTGGACTCCCACGTAGTCGACTGCGGTTTGTGTCCCAGACCTGGTGGCTTAAACTCACACCAGGCGCGTATGCGTGTGTGCCCAAGATCCCGAGAGGAGAATGGAGGAGAAGGGATTGTGGCGTGGCCATCCCCCCGGGGGGTGATTTCTCGCTTTCTATCTCTCTGTCTCTCTCTGTCTGTCTGGCAAGCACACACGCCCTATAGCAAAAATCTCTCCAAAAAAAGAAAAGAAAAGAAAAGAAAAGAAAACAAAACACAACACCCCAGATGGCCAGGTTCTATCCTCAGAAATTCCAACTCAGCCTGAGAATTTGCATTTCCAACAAGATTTTAGGACATGCGGGTGCTGCTAGTAGAGAGAATAATGTTATCCTTCAGCATGGAAGTGATCCCAGTTTACCATTAATGTAAGTTGACTATTTTTCTGTGGTCTCACCACATACTCCATAGCAGAATTTCTTGACTTTATGAAGTTCTGTATCCTCAGGCTGGCTCCATAGCACAGTGGTAAAGAGAGCTGGATCCCACATGGTCACCCACAGTTCAAGTCCTAGCCCTGGCTGCTCAAAAAACATTCAAAGTGTGTGTGCATGTGTGCCCAAATCCTGCCAGGATGGAGAGATGGAGGAAACAGGGCTGTGCTATGACCACATCCCATGAGGGATGCTTGCTCCCTTTCTCTGGTGAGTGCAGGTACTTCTGGCAATTAAAAAAACAAAAAAAAGTAGTAGTAGTTTTGTACCCTATGCCCTGAAAAACTGACATAAATCTTTTGCAGCTTGGCAGATTTAGAACATCTGTTCTACAGAAAAGACCCCTAGAGACACAGATTCCTTACCAGTAAATATGAGAAATGTAGATGGCTTGAAAGAACTAGAGCCTGGTACCAGTGCCAAGAGTCTAGGGCATATATGGCAAACTTTCTGTGAAGAGTCAGATAGTAAACACTTCGACTTTGTGGTCATAATGTCTGTCACAACTACTAAATACTGCTGTGGTAGCATAAAAGCAGCCATAGACAATAAATAAATAAATGAATGAGTGTGGTATGTTTCAAAAACACTTTACAAAAATAGGTGCTGCTGTTCAATTTCCTGACCCAGGATCTACAGGTCCAGCTTTATGTTGAAAACACTCTGCAACCTTAGGCAATGTATTCGCTTTCAACAGACTAACACTTGCAAGATGGGGTTAACTAATTACATTTATTTTACAGAATCTGGGAGATATCAAATAGGTCATGAAACAGAGACATTGAATAAGTATAGGTTATTTTTCAGTACAGCTAACGAATATAACCTACTGAGACAGAGTCCAAAAGAGAAAAAGACTGAATGGCAATATTGTAGTATGTTATTGTCTGAGGTGAATCAGGAGACCTACGAATTTGGACCTGAGCGATTTCAACACAAAGCTTTCTAAGTAGGTTTCCTTACAGTTTCTCTCTCTCTCTTCAATATGCATTAGAAACTGTTATCAGACTAGTACTACTAAGGCTAAATTTCATCTTTCTTCACTGAGACAGTTTGTGACTTCTCATTGCCTACACATTAGAATTTAAACTTCCTACTCTGACATCTTAACTGCCTTTCAGATCTCATCCTAAAGTCCCCAGTATGTTCTCTGTACTTTGCCCATTTTCATGCTACTGTTCACATCAGTCTCCAACTTGATGTGTGAGCTTCCTTACCTCCCAGTCTCTATGCAGTGTATGACATTCTATTCCAGGATCAGCTTCTATTATCAGCATATGAAGGAAAACTGGGTTGTCAGGTCACCTTTGAAAGTATTTCCGTAAGATGCCCATAAGATCTTGCTATGCTATTCACACTGGCCATGTGCTTGTGATCCTCCTGCCTCAGTCTCCTGAAGAGCTAGGAGTATAGGTGTGTACCATCACTCCAGCTTTTTAGGAAGTGAACTCAGGCCTTCCAGGTGGCATCAGCCTGCCATTTAGCAGCACCAACCAGCACATTCTACTGTAGCTGAGTTAATATGTAAGGTCTTTTAAAGTAAAATGTACATGTAATATACAGAAAGAATATTACTTCCATACTACTGTAATAGGGCTTTTCCTCAGAGCATGTAACTAACTCCATGAACATCTAGTGTAACATCACTGTATTTTTTAAAATTTTCTTTATTTTCCTTCATTAGAGAAAAAGGGGAAGGAAAGGAATACACAGATACAGGTACCTGTGAAAGGGTCTAGCAGTGTGGTGATCCTCCTGCCCCAGCCTCTCAATCGCTAAAACCACAGTCACGTGCAACTGCACCCAGCGTGTTCAGGTTGGCCTGGTGACTAATCTTGAGCCTCCCATACTTCTTTTTTTGGGGAGAGGTTTTCACTATAGGGCACGTGTGCTTGCCAGACAGACAGAGACATAGAGACAGAAAGCGAGAAATCACCCCCAGGGGGGATGGTCACGCCGCAATCCCTTCTCCTCCATTCTCCTCTTGGGATCTTGGGCACGCACGCACATGCGCCCGGCGTGAGTTTTAAGCCACCGGGTCTGGGATGCGAACCGCGGTTGACTACGTGGGAGTCCAGCGACATAGCCATTACACTAATTGCTGGTTCCCAGAGCCTCCCATACTTCTTCCAGCCTCCCAACTTTGGTACTACCTGTGTGCCACTGTGGCTGACTGTATTCTGATTTCTAAAGCTCAACTCAAATGCTACTTCCTGAGCAAAATCTTTTGTGATTTTCCTCAGCCCCATGTAATTTCAAGAGTCTCAGAACTAAAACTCTGTATCTGTTAGGACACTAACTTTCTTCTTCGTGCACTGGGGTAGAGGTTGGTTTCCAGTTTAAAAACTGTTTTAGACTAAAGACCTCTTAAGTGCAAAAGCTGAGTTCTTGTTCTGGCACTGACTGTAAATCATGTACGTTACTTTACCTCTCAGACGTCATTTTCTCATCTATGCCAGAGAAGACAATATAAACAAACGATTCTACTTCTGGGTATACATTCAAAAGAAATGAAAATAGGGTCTTGAAGAGATCTTTGTATAACTCATGTTCATAGCAGTATTCATCACAGCCAAAAAGTAGAAGCAAATCAAATGTCGACTGACTGATAAAATGTGACACAGCCATGCAATTCAGCCTTAAAAAGGAAATTCTAACACATGCCACAACACAGATGAACCTTGATGACATTATATGAAATAAGCCAGTCACAAAAAGACAAATACTGTATGATTACACTTCCATGAGGTACCGAGAGTGGTTAAACTTATCTAAATAGAAAGCAGAATGGTGATTGCCAGGGGCTGAAGGGAGGTGGGAAAGAGAATTAGGAGTTATTACTGGGAATAACAAAGTTCTGGAAATGTGTCACAACAATGTGAATATACTTAACACTATACAACTGTACACTTCAAAGTGGCTAAGGGGCAAGCAGGTTCATGGTGATAAAGGTGCTAGATTCCCACATGGTCATCCACAGTTCGAATCCCAGAACTGGCGGCTTAAAAATCACACTGGGCACATGTATGTGCTTACCCAGAATTCCGAGAGGAGAATGGTGGAGAAGGAATTGAGGCATGGCTAACCCCCTTTGGGGGCAGAGGGTGATTTCTTCTTCTTTTTTTTTTTTTTTTGGTTTGGAGAGGGTTTTTTTGCTATAGGGCAAAAAAAAAACCTTTCTGTCTGTGCACTCGCCAGAGAGACAGAGAGACGGAAAGCAAGAAATCACCCCCCCATGGAGGATGGCCATGCCACAATCCCTTCTCCTCTCGGGATCTTGGGCATACACGCACATGTGCCCGGCATTAGTTTACACCACCAGGTCTGGGACTCAAACCGCGGTTGACTACATGGGAGTCCAACGTCATAGCCATTACGCTAACTGCTGGTCCTGGGGGTGATTTCTTATGTTCCCTTTCTCTGTCTCCTCCCTGCAGTCACACACGCTCTTTGACAAAAACCTTAAGAAAAGAGTAAAAAGGCTAAGATGATAAATTTTAGCTATGTATATTTTTACCAGACACACACAAAAAGACAGTAATACCAGTCTTACCAGGATTATGGTAAGGCATACAGTAAAAGGTAACATAAATAAAACATTCAGCACAGAACCTGGCATATAGTATGTGTTTAACGAGTAGTTATTATCTGTAAAATATATGTGTAGGTTTTTAGTAATCATGGGTGTATATAGTTTTTCACTTATAACAACTTCATAAACACTTCTGTTATCTTGATGAATCACCATGTTATCAACTTAATAGCCTACACAGAAGTTTAGCTACAGTACCTTAGTTTTACTCAACTGTTATCTTGTGCATGTATTGCTAGATCATATGGTACGAGCATTTTTTCATCAGATGTTATTTTTTGCAAAATATGTGAATAAATCAGCTTAAAACATAATTTTTTTTTTTTTTGGAGAAGTTTTTGCTATAGGGCGCGTGTGCTCGCCAGACAGACAGAGAGACACAGAGAGATAGAAAGCGAGAAATCACCCCCCCAGGGGGGATGGCCAGACCGCAATTCCCTCTCCTCCATTCTCTTGGGATCTTGGGCACGCACGCACACGCACCCGGCATGAGTTTAAGCCACCAGGTCCGGGACTCGAACCGTGGTCGACTACATGGGAGTCCAGCGACATAGCCATTACGCTAACTGCTGGTCCCCATGATTTTTTTTTTAAAAGAGATTTTTGCGATAGGGTGTGCGTACTTGCTGGACAGTCAAAGACAGAGAAACAGAAAGTGAGAAATCACCTCCCCAACTTGGGGGAGGATGGCCACACCGCAATCCCTTCTACTCCATTCTCCTCTTGGGATCTTGGGCACACATGCACATATGCCTGGTATGAACTTTAAGCTGCGGGGTCCAGGCCTCTAACCATGGGTGGTTACCTGGGTGTCCAGCAACTTAGGTTTATGTCATCTGCTGGTCCCCAAATCTGTATTTGCATATTATCTTTGTCTCCTGTACAATAATTAAAAATAACTAATGAATATTGATTTAACCAATGACTATTGATATTCCTATACTGTGATACTGTGAGAATGGAAGAAGGGAATTGGAAGGAGGAACAGCATAAGAATGCTAATTTAAACCATCTTCTATAACATGACCTCTATTAACGATAGAAACTAATAAATAAGTAAACAGGGGCTGGCAGGTGGTGATTAAGGGCAATGGACTCCCACATGGCCAACCTGAGTTCGAGTCCTGGACCTGGTAGCTCGCTTTCTCACTTTCCTTCTCTCTCTCGCTCCCTTCCACTCTCACTCTGTCTCTCTCTGGTCAAATTATAAAGTTAAATAGCAATATAAACCTAGATTTAGAAATGGAGATAATATCCAAAGAATGACACCAATAAAAATTTAGGACACAAGCACCAGAGTAAAGCAGAAGTCTGCTTTGGTGTCTTCTCCATTCTTCTGCCAGGATATGCACATCTGCAGGTGGGGAGTGTTTTTCAAGCTGCTGCGTCTGGGACTCCAACTGTGCTGTTGAGCAAGTGGGATCCAGTCACCTTAACCACTACGCCATCGGATACCACTCCGCCCAGGCTTTTTTTTTTTTTTTTTGAATAGGGCACATGCAATCGCCAGACACACAGAGAGACAGAGAGACAGAAAGCGAGAAATCACCCCCCAGAGGGGATGGCCACACGGCAATCCCTTCTCCTCCATTTTCCTCTCAGGATCTTGGGAATGCATGCACACGCGCCTGGCGTGAGTTTAAGCCACTGGGTCCGGGACTTGAACCGCCATCCAATACGTGGGAGTCCAGCGACATAGCCATTATGCTAACTGCTGGTTCCTCCCCCCAGGCTGTCTTGAGCACATTTTTCCTACCCTTCTTAAATGAAAAAGGCATTCTTTTAAGCGCCTCCTGAAAACCAGGACTTAGCTACTCACTCACCTGGTGAGTACAAGTTCCTGTGAGTTTAATTAAATATTTGCCAAAAGGACGCCTGTATCTGTGTCCTGCTCTTCCTCACAACCACCCAGATCTTAGGGGCTTTTCAAAGTGTCACTGAACACATAGAAAATAGCAAGGCTGGGAGCTGGAGGCGGGACCACTTAGAGGTGCCATGAGCTAAGATGAAGGACGGCGACCACCTTTACCTTTACTCTTCTCCGCTTTCTCCCTTTCTCTTCCCCAGGAACCTGCTTCTCTCCTTTCTTCCTCTTCTTCCGCTTTCTGTCCTTGTGTTTGTCATGATCGTTTTTGTCGTCGAAGAGGCTGGAGTCGTGCCCCGAGCTGCCCGTGGAGAGCTCGGTGACTTCATTGCCCCCCACTTTAAGGACCAGCTTCAGGGGTTTCTCTACATATTCTTAAACAAAAGGACAGCGGCTGGATTAGGGAGGGCCTCGCTGGGCAGTGCCAAGAAGCGGGCGCCAAGGCGCACCAGGCGGTGCGGCGCCGCTCGGGCACGCAGTGGGCGCCCCACCACCTGTTGAGTGACCGACCCCCGCCCAGGCTGCGGCGGGGCCGCCTGCCCCGAACGCTCCCGGGCCTCTCGGGCCGTGTCACACCTCCCCACCAGAGACCACCGGCCCAGGGCCACCCGGGTTCGAATGCCGCCCCCACTTGGGGGGTCTTCGCGGGTCCCGGCCTGGCGTAGAAGGGGCGCCCCAGGTCGGCCTCGGGCACTCCAGGGTCATTTCGAAAGAACGTGAACCCCTTGGAGCCTCCCCCCGTTCCCCAGCCCGGCCCGGCCCACTCCTCACCGTCGTAGATGTGTTTGTCGGACTTGTGCTTCTTGTGCTTCTTGCCCATGTCCGACCGGGCCCCGGTGCCCGCCCCCCGCGCCAGGCCCAGGCCGTGCGGCGCCGCTT